TTAGTAATAAACAAAAAGAAATCTTGTATGAAACAAGTGATAATTTAAAAAAAAAAAAAGAAAAAAAAAAGAAAAAAAAAATACCTTTGATTGTTCAAAAGTCATGGTACGTCATTAATGTATAATACTCGTCATTATCCCTAACGTGAAAAGTATTGAAATATAGGACAACGAGTAAGGATTACTTACGAATATATATTCCTGTGTAAGAAAAAAATTTTGTTCCTTTAAACTACGTACGTTAATTCAGACACAATTAATGTCTCTCGTTCGTCGTATTATACAAGAAAACTAGAAAACAAGAAGAGAACGGAAGGACGATCGAACGAAAAGTGTTTTAATAGTATGAAAACATTTTTATATTGTGCCGATAAACTGAAACATTACGAACTATGGTCAAACGCAGAAAAAGAAAAAAAAAAAGAAAAAAAAAAAAAAAGAGAGAGATTATACCTTAGGTTATGTTACTTCTTTTCTCTCTCTCTCTCTCTCTCTCTCTCTCTCTCTCTCTCTCTCTATGTCTATGGATCACCCTTCTCTTTTAGAAAAGAGAAAAGAGAAAAACAAAACGAGAAAAAAGAAAAATTTCAATGACAGATAAATGAAATGAAGTTATAACAAGTTTTACGTAAGGGCTATGAACCCAAGGGTGAGTGGGTGGGTGGTTAGGGGGAAGGGAAGGATGTACTATGTGACGAACCGAAGCGATAAGAGCACATTTTTTATGTATACTTCAATACCCTTTCCCTAATACTATTCTCAACCTATCATTATCGATGATAATAACAAAAGAACTGTTTAACTCTTAACTTAAGTTTTTAGAATTGACTCGTTGTCAATGACTCGTTGTTACTTCGAATATTTTTTTTTTCTTTTTTTTCTTTTTCATCGACTTCAGATTAATTATTCAAGTCCATATCCTTGTAGACGTATATATCATCTTTTTCAAACGAAGTTTACCAGGGAGGACGTTCGATCGTTTTGCCGTCAGTCTTTCGTGAACCTTCGAAGGGATAAAATGGAAAAGGATAGTATAGAAGTAAGAGTCAAAAGGACGATTTGATTTTTTTGTTTCTGCCCTTTTTTTCTTTTAATTTTTTTTTTTTTTTTTTTAATGGTAGAACACGATTATTTCGTCCCGAATATACTGTGATCGTATATACGACATTTAGATAAGTGTTATCTTAGCATTAGTGTCTCGGATAATAATTTTCTATCGATCATAATGTTACTAGTTCATTTCAATTGGAAATTATTTTTGTGCAATTAATATTTATTACTTATATATATATATTTTTTTTTTTTTATTATCTTCATTTACTATCATTTATAAGCGTGAAAATATTATTTATATTATTATTTTATTATTGATTATTGTTTAAGTTTTTATAATTCGTCGACAATTCTGTGATGTTTCTGTTTGGTTTTATTTTTCTTTCTTTCCTTTTTTTTTTTTTTTTTTTTTTTTTTTAAATCTACTCTATTATTACAGGTCTGTCTTTGATATTTTTAATTTTTTTATCGTAATGGAATTATTTGATTTTACGAATAATAGTTCTAAAGGGAATATATATTTTTATGTGAGACCGACGTAATTTAATAATTATATTTAACTCATTCGATGAACAATCGTTTTATGAAATGTTTAATGGACAATATGTTACAGTTTTCTAAATGAAATTTTCTAAATTAACAAATCTTTATCTTGGAAACGTGACATTTTTGAAAAACTACGTCTTAACTAGTTGTTGTCCGATTTTATAAATTGAAATATTATTTATTGTTCTTATTTTGTAAAAGATTCAACAATATCTCATGGCAAACTTTGTTGTACGAAAATTGCTGTATAAAAAAAAAAAATTTCGAAAAATTAAAAAGTATTTCAAAAATTTACTAGTTTTCTATTTTTTTTCTTTTTAACAATAAAATAAATTTCCAATATAAAAAATGTAGCATCGTATTTATGAAAAAAATGAATTTAAGCTTGAATAAATTTCAAGATCGTTTAATAAATAGAAAACAAAAAATGCAACAATATCGCCTTTTTTATTATCCGAGAATTTTTATCAGGCTTATTTTTTTCAAATACGTCGTTTTAATGAAATAAAAAATTTATACGCTTTATTTAGATATCCATTATAACGTAATAAAAAATGATGATAAAGCATGATTATGATGATAAAGCAGTATATATATATATGTATTATAAAATATATAATACATAATATATATATGTGTATATATATATATATATTTATAAATAATACTAATATATATAATTTCTTAATATTTATATATTATTATTATTATTAATATATAAATATTTATATGTTAAAATATTAACCTTGAATATTAAAGTAATTGTAATATTTTAATATCTCAAAAAAAATAAGAACATTAATTATATATTTCTAAATAGATATATGTAGATATAAATATATTTAATACTAGAATATAATAATAATATATATATATATATATGTATGTATATATAAATATATTTTTTTTTTGAGTGATTCAATTATAACAAAAAATTTCGGACAAAATATGATTATGTTGAAATTTTCATAAATTAAAATCGATGTATATGAAAATACTAATATCAATAATAGTAATCTATATTTATACACGCATATTATTATATTAATCATAAATATATAAATATATAGATTAGACATATATACATTGTAATATTTACATATATATAAAATTATATATAACAGTATATAAATATATATCAATAAATTATATATATAATGTTTATTTTAAAAGTGGCCTAACTCTATTTGTCAATTTTTTCCTGTTACTATAATTACATGTACAACTTTATCTTATTTATCAGTAAAGCATTTCAGGTTGCTTATATTCCGAGCAAATACGATAATTCTTGACACATAAGTTTTCAGTGTTAGTTCAATAATTTAACCGTGTAGTTTGAAAGTGGCCTAACTCCATTTATACTTATAAGAAATGGTAACTAATAATTTTAAAAAAATTGAAAAAGAAACAGAATTATAGAAGAATATTCGCCTTAAAAAAAAAAAAGGAACACATTATAGAAAGACACATTATAGCTTACAGTGACATGTGCGCATTTTTCATAAGACATCAATGAATGAAAATGAACATTTTAAAGTACTATATTTATTACCACGTCGGGATAGACCAAGAAAGTTCGAAAATATTATATTGACACTACTGTATAAAAATATCAGACAAATTACAACAGCAAAATTCAAGGACATAATTGAGCTATTACGATATATACCACCGGAGCATCATGATTTCTTCAAATCCCTTTCACGCACACAAAATCTAGATGAGTAGTAAATTGTTTTGTAATAAATTTATGTTTGTAATTTTGTACGTTATGTAGTTAAAAAATGTTTTGAATCGCATAAATTATGTTTTCGAAGTGTTTTAAAGATATGTAAAAATAAATTGAGTATTGTTTTTCTTCAATTTGAAGCATCTTAAATTATGTTGAATGGACTTGGGCACCTTCAAATTTTATAATGAATCTGATTGTTAATTTTGAAAGTGGCCTAACTCCATTCTTGATAAGAAAACTCATATTATTCACTTAATAATTGCCATTATTTTAATAGAAACTATAAATTTAACACCTTTAGATATACTTAAGTAGTATGACTCATTAGTATCCTATACGTATATTTTTAAATTCATTGAAACGCAAACCTTTAAATATCTCGATTTGAAGATAAATGGAGTTAGGCCATTTTCAAAATAAACGCCTCATATATATAATATATACAATATTAACTGTAATAAAATGTATACAGACGAATAAAAAAATAATTAATCTGAAATCAATCTAGAACATTAACTAATTGAATATTTCTATTATAGGAACAAGGAATTGCCAACGTTCGAAGATCATTTATTTGGAACTCAAGGTTCTTAAAATGCATGGGAATTTGGCCATTCAAGAACTACTTTCCGATATTTCTCTTCTTTTTTACATATCTTTTCATTCATTGTTCTTTAACACTCGCACAATTGTTTTGGGCTCCAAAAACAATGGATTACGTCGTACCTAACATAGCAGAAAACATTGAACTAACGATGACCCTTACGAAAATAACAATTACTAGAATAAACAGAGAAGCATTGCGTAAATTATTCACGGAAATCAAGGAATATTCATTGACTGAGAAATACGAAACTAAAGAGGAAAAATTGACATTCGTGAATTATACTAAATTACCTCCATATTTTATTGTAATAATTGCCTCTACAATGACAGTGGTCGAAATATTGTATTATACGACTCGACTTACCGAAGGACTTCAAATTGGTAATTTATATAATTATTGTTTCATTTTATAAGTGACATTATATTTTATATATTTTATATTAATCCTTATATGGATTTGTCATCAATTGTAGCCCGACGATTATTTTTTTATGTATTTGCATATTCACTTATTATTGAATTAATAGATGTACTCATACACACAAATATATGCTCATATTACACAAAATAAGAGGATGAAATAATCATCAATTATTTATATATATTTTTAATAAGTAAATTAATTTCATCTTCTCAGAGTTCAAAACTATACATACGTCATAGCATGTTCTTTCATTTTTGATTGGATTTTAATGCAACGACTAGTATTTAAAACAATAACAAATTAATGATTATTTATGGATAAATGCCAACGTTGGTACAGTCAATTTGATCAGTTCATCATTTAGATTTGATCGAATAATGTTCGAAGTAGACAACCTGCGGAATTTAATAATGACGTAATGAAATCATTGTCAAATTGAATCTGATACATAATTGACAGTACGAGAAACATCTGATACATTTGTGATCACTTATGGTCGAACAGTGCAAAGACAACTTCATAAAATCGAATTCCGCATCACGAACTATAATAATATCAACGAGGAAGAATTTGCACATCGTTACTGATCAACCTACGAAATGATCCTATTTTAAGCATAATCATTACCGTAAATGAGAAATGAGTTTTATACAGCAACATGAAACATACCAATCAATGAGTTTCTACGAATCAATCAACTGTATCCACATCTAATCAAGGTCTGATACTTGAAAACGGTGCTATCGTACGTTTGATGATACCGCATCGGCATAATTCATTTTGATTTGCCACAACCAATTGCTGTTAATGATTATTGTCCACAATTGAAATGGTTACATAAATAATTATTGAAACAATGGCTTGCACTGATTAATAATATACGCGTTATATCGCAACATGCTAATGGCAAAATCAGTCGACCTAACCAAAAGAACGATTAAATCAACATTGCTAGAAAGTTTTACTGAGTTCATCGTATTCATTCGATATTACAATATTATTTCTTTTTTTATTTATTTTTTCTTTTTTTTTTTTTTTTTTTAGATTTATGAAGTATTACATAAAATATAAAATGTCTCGTAATGTCGATGATTTTCAAGTTCACATCGAAACATATTTTTCATCACTGCGTGTACATTTTTTACGAAAGATTACGTGAAAATTTAAAGAAGAGATAACAAAATCACAATTGATTCGAAGGGAAATAAAAAAAAAAAAATTGTATTCAACTGTGTGTCTAATTATTAAAAATAATTAATTAAGAGTACGATTACATAAGTTTATCCTATAATATTGTACGATTAATATGATTTATCATTGTATAAGACATTAACTCGATATGAATATATTGAAATATTTGTTTTAATCAGCTAATCTAATGTATTTGCTCTTTTATATTTTCGTAATTAATTTTCTTAAACAATTATTTCGTTTCCTTTTTTCTTTTTCTACTTTTCAGCAGAACAAAACAATTCCATGGGTTATCAATTGCCGTACAGTACATTACAAGTCATCCATTTAAAGGACAGTAGGATTTACGCTTTGATTTGTGTTTATCAAATGATATACATACCTTGTATCGTATTAGGTTACGTTGGATTCGATTGCATGTTCGTCAATTTGTCCGTTCAAGTAATTGCACAGTTCTCCATATTGTCTTATAAGGTGAAGACATTATTAAATGATTCTAAAAATTATCATGAGGGTATGAAGAGACTTGTACTACGACATTATCGATTAATAAGGTAAAAAACATATCGTATAATTATATAAAAAATTAATTGATATATTTGTGTATGTGTGTGTGTATATGTATACATGTATACATGTCATATATATATATATATATATATATATATATATATATATATATAAATCATGATAAATTATTTTATTTACAAGTTTATCAATTAATTTCTTTAATTTATTTACAATCACACACACGTATACATATATATATATAAGTTATTGCCTTTCGTAACAAATTATTAAAAGTTGATTTTCTTGATTTATCTATTTATTTGATTGGAAACTATGAAACAGACGTTGAATGAAAATAAATAACTAAACAATAACGCCCGTTTCATAGTTTCCAACCTAATATTTATATACTACATTGGAAACTATGAAACCGGCGTTGAATGAAAATAAATAACTAAACAATAACGCCCGTTTCATAGTTTCCAACATAGTATATAAGTATTAAGTTGGAAACTATGAAACGGGCGTAGAATGAAAATAAAAAAAACTAAACAAAAACGCCCGTTTCATAGTTTCCAACCTAATACTTACATACTATGTTGGAAACTATGAAACGGGCGTTGAATGAAAATAAATAACTAAACAAAAACGCCCGTTTCATAGTTTCCAACCTAATATTTATTATTTGATTAATAAATTATTCCATTTACAGGTCGCTTTAACAATTAAATTCTTTCATCATTTATTTATTATTTTATTATTTTATTATTTTTTATTTTTTCTATTGAATTATTTATTCGTTTTATTTTATTCGTTATTACAATATTTATTTATTATTTTCAATTTCAATATTATTTATTTATTAATTTCAATCATCTTCATGTCGTTGAATATATAAAAAATAAAAAAAATATATTTTCTTCTAAATAAAATCATATTAATTTTTTTCTCATTTCGTTTCAATAATGAAAATACAAACAATAATAATGAACTCTATTGTAATATTTTATTTTTTATATTTCGTTTCAATAATGAAAATACAAACAATAATAATGAACTCTATCGTAATATTTTATTTTTTATATCTACATGAAATATAATATTTCAGATGGGCGGAAATATTGGAAGATAATTTTAATTTCCCGATTATGCAGCAACTGTTGGGTACCACCATTCATATCTGCATTTCCGGTTACTACGTACTGATGGTACAAATGCAAGCGAATAATATATATATATTTTTTTTTTACTTTTGTAAGGAATTACATAAGTCTCTATCAAAAAAAAAAAAAAGAAAAAAGAAACCCGAATATTTCTTTTTTTTTTTTGCTATTTCCTATATCTCTCATTTATTTTTGATTAATCTACATTATTTGTCTTTAAAATCAATTTATCTTTGCTTGATGAGATTAAATTAATAATTTTACTTTAATTAATAATTTTACTCTACTTTAATGATTAAATTAATAATTTTCCTTTAATTAATAATTTTATTCTACATTAAAGATTAAATTAATAATTTTGTTTCTTTTTAAACTCATAAAGAATGACGGAGAAATAAAATTGTCGTAGATATAGAGACAACAATTCGCGTTGCTTACTATAATTGCCATAACTAATTATTGAAAAAAAAAAAAGAAAAAAAAGAAAAAAAAGAGAAAAAGGAAATAATTTATTCATAAATAATTCTTAAAAATTTTGAAATATAATAATTTCTTATTAATTCGAATATGTGAAATTATTTACCTTTAGACAAAATGGGACAGATTTTCGTTTATCTTTTATCGCCTCTTAGAAAAAAATCCGCGCTTTTTTATTTTTGTTGAAAAAAAAAACAAAAAAAAAAAAGAAAAAAAGCGGAAGCATTTCGCAAAAAAAAAAATCCTATCGTTAATAAGTCTTATATATAATTCAAATGATGATCGAAATTTTGAAAATCTCTTAGTTCAATAATTCGCACGAAACTTTTCATATAAATTTTTTTTTGGTGGGTTACTCTTATGAAAACAATTATGATCATTCAAACAACTGTCATTATCGTCGCATTTACATTTACTTTATCGACAAATCCTTTTTTACTTTATCGTAAATGACTTTTTATATACCACTTAAAATTCTCCGGACAAGGTCATAGTTATCAATCTTTGTTTTTTATCTCGTATTAACATTTAGTCTTGAAGAATTGCGATAAAAATTAAATAATAATTGTGGAAATGAAAATGAAATGTTCTGAAAATGATCGTCGTTGTTTGATTTGAAAGGATCGAAAAAAAGAAAAAAAAAAACAAAAAACAGTTACATTGTTACTACCATTATAACTCCGTCATTTTTTTTTTTTTTTTTTTTTTTTTTAATAGATCTCCTGCCATAATTATCTGCATTTAGAAAATGTAGAAAACAAATTGTTTTCTTTCTTTTTTTTTTATCCAAAGAATATCACGTACGTTTTTAATTTTCTCCGTACAAGGTCATAGTTATCAATCTTTTTTTATATTTCGTATTAACATTTAGTCTTGAAGAATTGCGATAAAAATTAAATAATAATTGTGGAAATGAAAATGAAATGTTCTGAAAATGATCGTCGTTGTTTGATTTGAAAGGATCGAAAAAAAGAAAAAAAAAACAAAAAACAGTTACATTGTTACTATCATTATAACTCCGTCATTTTTTTTTCTTTTTTTAATAGATCTCCTGCCATAATTATCTGCATTTAGAAAATGTAGAAGACAAATTGTTTTCTTTCTTTTTTTTTTATCCGATGAATATCACGTACGTTTTTAAGTTATGTGATAACATCTAATCAATGTTTATCTTTTGACAATTTTAGGGTCCAGAAACGAAGGATATTTTAACATCGATATTATTCGTTCTTTATATGTTTTCCGTGACAAGTACACTTTTTATTTATTGCTTCATCGGCGAATGTTTCATTCAGGAAGTATATAAATTGTCAATAATTTCTATTATAATTAAAATAACAATTAATCGATTAATTTCATTTGTTTTGTTCGATTAGAGTACCAATTTTGGTAACGCCATTTATAATTACGAATGGTACAACTTGCCGGCAATCGACGCGAAATTTTTTCTCATTTGTATGATAAGAACGAAAAAGCCACAATTCTTAACATCCGGCAAATTTGCCATCTTGTCCTTGACCGTCTTCACGGACGTAAGTATATTTCGTATAATTCTTTTTTTCCATCTTTAAATTATATTCCTTCCTGTAACAATACAATTGTTATTTCGTTATAATTATTATTGTATATTTATTAATATTTGTAGATCATCAAAACTTCAATGGGATATTTGTCGGTATTACGAACATTTATGTGAAAAGGACAAAAGTGAAATGAATTACGTAGTAACAAATTCTTTTTTCTTTTTTTCTTTTTTTTTCTTTCTTTTCTCTTTTTTTTTTGTTTCTTTTTTTCTTTTCTTAAGTCATCTTCCATAGGAAGACAAATGGTTTGTCTATACATCGTTTAATTTTATTAGTACATATAATGTAATTAGAAATAATAATTAGCTTATATAATATATAAATACAATTCTAAGACAATCGATCAAAACTCATTGTTTCTTTCTTCATTAATTATAACATTAATTAAATTTAAATTCTTCAAAAATTAATATCAAATATGTAAGAATTGTATCAGTTATATAATGATACCAGTTGTCTCATTTTTCAAAATATATGACTGATTGTTTCTGATTTTATTGATTTCCATATGTATATGTGATAATAATAATAATAATATAATAATAATAAAGTAATAATAATAATAATAATAAGAAGAATAATAAGAATAATAATAATAATAAAGTAATAATAATAATAATAATAATAATAATAATAATAATAATAATAATATAATAATAATAATAATAATATAATAATAAAGTAATAATAATAATAATAATAATAATAATAGGAAAAATAAATTTGTTAGAAAAATTAAAATAAATACGTAATTCAAAAAAGTATGTTACATAAAAGTATGAGGCTCATACGTGTCTGTTCAAAGAAAAATTATTATTATTATTTATATATACGAATATTTAAAAATAATTAATCAATTTTTTCAAAGTTAACAATACGTATGAGCCCAACTTGTTTCTTTATTTTTTTTTTTTATTATTATTGTTTTTTAATTTATTACATATTTATGCGAAAACAAAATTGGTATTGACAAAAACATTCTTTTTTTTTTTTTTTTTTTACTTACATGAAAACCGAACGAACTTTCTGATCAACCACAGATATTATTTAAATATCGTCTATATTTATCCTAAATACTGCAGTTGTATGCATTTATTGTCAGTTATTTGTTCAGAATTATTATAGAAATATTAATTGCCTTTGAATGTTGAATATTCAAGATTAATTATTGAACGATCTCATTCGTCAAACTTTGTTCGTAAGAATAAGTGTTGCATTCATTATCTGCAAAATTTATAAAGGGTTAAAATATTTTGATTATTTGAACATCAAAATGTGTATAAATCCATATTACATTTTACGTAAAATTAAAATTGAGTTAACTAATAAATAAGAATCATCTAACGAAATATAATATTTCATTAGAAAAATGAAAGAAAAAGTGAAAACAAATGTTACTCGAAAAAAAAGTATAAACGAAAACATTTTCATGTCGATAAATGATAACGTAAAAGATATAATAAATAATAACGATTAATGATAAATAATAATAAAATAAAAAATTTGCAAAAACAACGTCAAATCTCACGAAATCCAAAGGATGCGTAAAGAAAAAAAAAAAAGTATAATCAATTTGAGAAAATAGTGAAAGTATAATTTCTGGAAATAAAGAGATTGTTTGATTGCAAATGAAAAATAATAATTTAAAACTAAAGAAAAAGAATTCTTGTATGAAACAATTGATAATTAAAAAAAAAAAAAAAAACAATAAAGAAAAATTTTCATTTTTTTGCCGAGAAATCATGTATGTCCTTAAAAAACTATACTCATTATAAGCTCTAACGTTAAAATCATTAAAATAAAGGACAAAACGTTAAAGACATTTAATTTCATCGCACGATTACTTACGAATACTTGTATCCGTGAAATAGAATAAAATTTGATTGTTTTAAACCACCACCATAAATTCAGACACATTCAATGTCTTTCGTTCGTCTTATTACGGCAAAACTGAGAACTACAAGGGAACGAAAGTATGATCGAACGAAAAGTATTGTGTAGGGGTTGTTGAAAATATTTTTATATTACCAGTTAACCGGTTGAACTTCGAACTATGACAGAGCAAAAAAAAAGGATGATTATATCCAGGAGCACGATGTTACATTTTTCCCTCTATAACTATGATCGCCCTCTTTCCTAAAAAAAAAAAAAAAAAAAAAAAAGAAAAAAAGAAAAAAAAGGACAAATTTCAACGACAGGTAAATGGAATGAAGTTAAAAGAAGTTTTACGTGAGGGCTGTAAAACGTAGGGGATGTTCTCTATATAGTGAATCGAAACGATAATAGCACATTTTTTTTTTAATATATATATATATACTCGAATCCTCCCTTCTGCCGTTAACATCAAGCTACCGTTATCGATGATAACAACGAAGTAACTGGTTTAACTCGTTGGTAGAAAAAGTTAGAAACGAGTTGTTTCTCAATATTTTTTTCGTCGACTTTAAATTAACTATTCAAGCAACCCTTTAGACGCATATACCATCTTTTTCAAACGGAGTTTACCAGGGAGGACGTTCGATCGTTTTGCCGTCAGTCTTTCGTGAACCTTCGAAGGGATAAAATGGGAAAGGATACCATAGAAGTAAGAGTCAAGAGGATGGTTTGGTTTTTTCTTTTTTTTGTTTTTTCTTTTTTTTTTTAATTTTTGTTCTTTCTCGTCTTCTTTTCTTTCTTTTCTCCTTTTTTTTTTTTTTCTTTTTGTTTTTAATCGTAGAACGAAATTCGAATAATAATACAGTGATATTACGATGATGACTATTAAGTGACGTAAATATCCTACATAGTGATCGAAAATAATTTTTCAATGATCTCAAAGTGTTGTTCAATGTTTATTTCAATTGGAAATAATTTTTTCTTTTTTTCTTTCTTTTTTTTTTTTTTTTTTTTTTTTTTTTTTTTTTGAAATTTTATTTCCTAATACATTCTTATTTCTTTTATATATATATATATATATATATTTTCTTTTGCTCGCCCTTGCAATGTTAATTTATAAAAGTGTAGATATTATTAATTTGTTTATTGTTTACGTATTCACGCTTCGCAAACAATTCTTTGACATTTTACTTGATGGGGTTTTTTTTTTCTTTCTTTTTGTTTTTTTTTTTTTTCTTTTTTTTTCTTTAAGTCTACAATTGTAAGCTTCACGTTGTATGTCTTTGACGTTTGACTTTTTTTTTTTATTTATTTATTTAAAGGGAATCAATTTTTGTATTATTATGCACAAGTGAATATAGTGAAAAATGAAAAATATAATCCGATGAGATTTAATTTTAATATTTAATATTTATTTCATTTGGTAAAAAATCGTAATAGAGAATTTTTAATGGACGATATATAGGGTGTTTCCAGACGAAGCACTATCAATTCGTTCATTTCGGATAAACGTATTTTCGTATTTTTGAAGAAAATATATTTTTACAAGTGCAATTTGACTTCAACAATAGAAATATTATTTTATTTATTATTTTTGTTTAGTGAAAAGATACAATGATATTTAAAAAACTTTGTTGTTCGATAAAGAAGATTTTTTATACAAAATTTATTTTCCTTTTCTCATTTCTTTTTTTTTTTTTTTTTTTTTTTTAACGAATAATAAGTTTCCGTTATAAATAATGTTGATTGACATTTAGAAAAAATAAAGTTAACATTTAATGAACTTCAAAATCGTTTAAAAAATATAAAACAAAAAATTTAATATGACAACATTATTATCAGACAAACATTCATATGAATTATTTTTCTCAAATATATCGTATTGACGAAATAAAATCATAGTGACACTTTATTTAGATACCCATTATAATGTATTAAAGAATGCATTAATACGATGATAAAGCTCTGCATATATATGAATAGTATTAATATGTATAATATTCTTTTAATAATATTTAAAAACAATTATTGAATATTTACATAATAATTTTGAATATTAAAGTAATCGTAATATTTTCATATTTAATAAAAATGAGAACATTAATTAATAAATAATAAAAAATTGTGGTAAATACGATCACGATAAAATTATAAAAAATTAAAATCAGTATATATATAAATATACATATATATATATAATAATAATCTGTGTATGTACATATATTATTATATTAATCATAAACTTATAAATATATAGATTATATACATTATAATATTTACTACCTAATATATAAATATATTAACTAATAAAATGTAATACATATATATATATATATATATATATATATATATGTATATATAGATATAAAAATAACTAATTATTCTAAAATCAATCTACAATATTAACCAATTGAATATTTCTATTATAGGAACAAGGAATTGCCAATGTCAGAAGATCATTTATTTGGAACTCAAGGTTATTAAAATGCATGGGAATTTGGCCATTGCAGAATTACGTTCCGGTATTTCTCTTCTTCTTCACATATCTTTCTCTTCATTGTTCGCTAACACTCGCAGAATTGTTATGGGCTCCAAAAACTATGGACAATGTCGTAGCAAACATAGCAGAAAATATTATCCTAACAATGACACTTACGAAAATAACAATCGCCAGAATGAACAGAGAAGCATTGCGTGAATTATTCATAGAACTCGAGGAATATTCACTGACTGAAAAATATGAAACTAAAGAGGAAAAACTGACATTTGTGAATTATACTAAATTACCTCCATATTTTATTATAATAATTGCATGTTCAATGACATTGGCCGAATCAATGTATTATTTGAATCGAGTTATTGAAGGAATTCAATTCGGTAATTTATAATTTTTGTTTCTTTTTTATGTGTGCCATTGTATTTTATATATATTCTATTCAATCATTAATGGCTTTATCACGAACTGTTGTCCGAAGATTATAATTTTTATTTAATTACTTATTTATTCTTTATTTAATAGATATAGTCTCGCACACGAAGACATATTCATACACAAATACACGAGCATGCAATAATCGATAATCATTTCCAATATTTTTTATAAGTAAATTAATTTTATACTCCTAACGTTCAAAAGTATACATACGTCATTGCATGATGTTTCATTTACGATTGGACGTAACGACTAGAAATTAAAAGAATACAAAATTAATGATCTCTATGGTTAAGTTCTGAAGTTCAATAAATGCCAATTCAATTTGAAAGAAAATAAGCAAACAAGAAATTGCGTATCGTTATTGACTAGTCAACGAGAAGATCAATTTCTTAGCATAATCGTTATCGTCGATGAGAAATGAGTTCTATACAGCTACATGACACATACCAATCAATGACTTTCTACGAATCAATCAGCTGTATTCACACCAAATCCAAATCTGATACTTGAAAACGGTGCTATCGTGCGTTTGATGATACCGCACCGGCATAATTCATTTTGATTTGCCACAACCAATTGCTGTTAATGATTATTGTCCACAATTGAATTGATTGGATAAATAATTGTCGAAACAATGGCTTGCACTGGTTAATAACATACGCGTTATATCGCAACTTGCTAACGGCAAAATCAGTCGATCTACCCAAAAGAACGATAAACCAACATTGCTAGAAAGTTTTACTGAGTTCATCGTATTCATTTCATATTACCATATCGGATTATTATTTTTTTAGATTTATGGAGCATTACATAAACTATAAAATATCTCGAAATGTCGGTGATTTTCAAGTTCACATCGAATCATATTTTTCATCACTGCGTGCATATTTTTTACGAAAGATTTCGTGAAAATTTACAGAAGAGATTGCAAAATCACAATTAATTTGAAAGGAAATAAAAAAAAAAATTGTATCCAACTATGTGTCTAATTTTAAATTAATTAATTAAGGGTACAATTACTTAATGGTATCCTATAATATTACACGTATCGGACATTTAAGCCGATATGAATAATTGAAATATTTGTATTAATTAGCTAATCAAATATTTTAATTCATGTCATCCTTTCGTAATTCTTTTTCTTAAGAAAATTATTTTGTTTCTTTTTCTCTGTTTCTACTTTTCAGCAGCGCAAAACAATTCGATGGGTTATAAATTGCCGTACAGAACATTAGCGATCATGGAATTAAGGGACAGCAGAATTTACACTATGATTTGTGTCTACCAAATAATATTTGTACCATCTATCGTATTAGGATACGTAGGATTCGACTGCATGTTCGTCAATTTGTCCATTCAAGTAATTGCACAATTCTCCATATTGTCCTATAAGGTGAAAGCAGTATTAAATAATTCTAAAAATCATCGCGATGGTATGAAGAGATTAGTACTACGACATTATCGACTGATAAGGTAAAAAAGAATACGTAAGATTATACAAAAATAATTTATATATTTGCATGTGTGTATATATATATAAATATATAAATGGATATATACATAAACCATGATAAAATACTTTATTTTAAAGTTTATTAATTAATTCTTTTACTTGATTTATACAGATAACATACGTGTATACATATGCACGTTATTGCGTTTTCTAACAAATTTAGTAAAAACTCATTTTCTCGATTATCTATTACGTGTTATTTGGTTAATAAATAAGTCCTTCTTGGTTTCTACTAGAATTTAGTACTATCACCGTTTATTTACTATTTTATTATTTTATTATTTTCTATTTTCTATTCAGTTATTCATTCATTATATATTTTGTTTGTTACTTTGAAATTTCCACATTATTATGTATTTTTTATTATTTATTAATTTCAATCATCTTCATGTCGTTGAATATATCAAAAATAGAAAAAAATATTTCCTTCTATATAAAATTGTATTGATTTTTATATTATTTCGTATCAATAATGAAAATACAAACAATAATAATAAACTCTATCGTAATATTTTATTTTTTATATCTACATGAAATATAATATTTCAGATTGACGGAAAGATTGGAGGATAACTTTAATTTACCGATTATGCAGCAACTGTTTGGTACCACCGTTCATATCTGTATTTCCGGTTACTACGTACTGATGGTACAAATACATCGGAATATTTTCATTTCGTTTCTTTTTAACGAAGTACATAACTCCGTAGTATAAAGAAACAAAAATTTCTTTGCACTTTTCTTTACTTTTTCATTTATATGTTCATTAATCTACATAATTTAGTAAAATAAACTTCTTCTTTTTGCTTGATAGGACTTAGTTTAAAGATTAAATTAATAATTTATTTTCGTAAAAAACTTATAAAGAATGGCGGAGATACGAAATTCGCATAGATAGGAAACAATTTGTTATTTACGATAATTTCCATGAGTATTCATTAAAAAGAATGAAAAGAATTTATTCATAAATAATTCTTAAAATATAAAAGTAAAATAAGTACTTATTCAGCCGAATTTTTGAAATTCTACGTTTATAAAAAATGGCGAACATTTTAATTTATTTTTTACTTTTTCTTGAGAAAAATCACACTTTCTTTTTGTTCCAAAAAAAGAAGCATTCCGAAAAAAAGTCAAGCTTTCAGAAAGACAAATGAAATGCACATAATAATGGAAATTTTTGAAGCCTTTCATTTCAATATTTTTTAAAGAAATATCTAATACAACACATTTCAACACATTTGAAGTTCCCCATTGCGAACAGCTAACATGTATTAGGTTGAAAACTATTAAACGGGCGTTGAATGAAAATAAAGAAACTAAACAATAACGTCCGTTTCATAGTTTCCAACATAATACTTATATATAAGGTTGGAAACTATGAAACGGGCGTTGAATGAAGATAAAAAAACTAAACAATAATGTCCGTTTCATAGTTTCCAACATAATACTTATATATAAGGTTGGAAACTATGAAACGGGCGTTGAATGAAGATAAAAAAAACTAAACAATAACGCTCGTTTCATTGTTTCCAACTTAATATATAATTTAAATATATAACTAATATTATAACTAATATAATTCCAACCTAATATATAAGTATTAGGTTGGAAACTATGAAACGGGCGTTGAATGAAAATAAATAACTAAACAATAACGCCCGTTTCATAGTTTCCAACCTAATACTTATATATAAGGTCGGAAACTATGAAACGGGCGTTGAATGAAAATAAAGAAACTAAACAATAACGTCCGTTTCATAGTTTCCAACATAATACTTATATATAAGGTTGGAAACTATGAAACGGGCGTTGAATGAAGATAAAAAAACTAAACAATAACGCCCGTTTCATAGTTTCCAACATAATACTTATATATAAGGTTGGAAACTATGAAACGGGCGTTGAATGAAGATAAAAAAAACTAAACAATAATGTCCGTTTCATAGTTTCCAACATAATACTTATATATAAGGTTGGAAACTATGAAACGGGCGTTGAATGAAGATAAAAAAAACTAAACAATAACGCTCGTTTCATTGTTTCCAACTTAATATATAATTTAAATATATAACTAATATTATAACTAATATAATTCCAACCTAATATATAAGTATTAGGTTGGAAACTATGAAACGGGCGTTGAATGAAAATAAATAACTAAACAATAACGCCCGTTTCATAGTTTCCAACCTAATACTTATATATAAGGTCGGAAACTATGAAACGGGCGTTGAATGAAAATAAAGAAACTAAACAATAACGTCCGTTTCATAGTTTCCAACATAATACTTATATATAAGGTTGGAAACTATGAAACGGGCGTTGAATGAAGATAAAAAAACTAAACAATAACGCCCGTTTCATAGTTTCCAACATAATACTTATATATAAGGTTGGAAACTATGAAACGGGCGTTGAATGAAGATAAAAAAAACTAAACAATAACGCTCGTTTCATTGTTTCCAACTAATATATAATTTAAATATATAACTAATATTATAACTAATATAATTCCAACCTAATATATAAGTATTAGGTTGGAATTATATTAGGTTGGAAATAAATAACTAAACAATAACGCCCGTTTCATAGTTTCCAACCTAATACTTATATATAAGGTTGGAAACTATGAAATGGGCGTTGAATGAAGATAAAAAAAACTAAACAATAACGCCCGTTTCATAGTTTCCAACATAATACTTATATATAAGGTTGGAAACTATGAAACGGGCGTTGAATGAAAATAAAAAAAACTAAACAAAAACGCCCGTTTCATAGTTTCCAACCTAATATTTTGGAAGACTCGCATTGAATCATCGAATTCAAAACCACGTAATATACTTTCAATCATCGAATGAAAGTTTAATTGTTATTAATGTTCGTTTTTATGATATTAGGAAGCTATTTTTGCTGTGTTTGCTGATCAAGTTCGGCCACATTTGTGCAAAAATTATCTTCTAGCATGGCAAACTGATAAACAAGCGGATCAATTTCCATACCTAACGATTCTATTAATTTGAAAATGGATGACATTTCTTGATTTAAAAGACAAGGATCGATGTTCAATGAGTTTTCTGTCATCGCGGATCCGGTGATGATAGTTTGACCTGGCAAAGTCCCGATGCAAAATGATTAAAACTTTCATTCGTATTTTCCGTAAATCCATAAAGTCTTTGTAGCAACGAAGTATCCTTACTTTAATCCTCATTAATATCCTTCAATTTCTTCCAAATGATTTTCGACAAAGCTTTTATATTCATGGTCAAACTTGTCTTATTCAATTTTTAACATTTGCTTCCTACATACTGCGCCATGATTCTGTATTGTGTAAACGATAATGATGTACAGGATGCTCATTTGTGAAACTGTAATAATGAAATATGTATCCAATGAATTATCGTTGCATCTATTTATACTTTATCGACGGATTAATCGTTAATTTATTGTGAATGAGAATTTATACTCCACGTTATATATTTGATCTATGGCAATTAATATCAATTCTTTTCCAATACTAGCAAACTTAACATATACATGTACACATATTATTGTTGCGAAATTATGATAAAATAAATAACGATTGGTAACGTGAATGAAATGTTTTAGAAATGATACTGTTGATTGATTTGAGAACATTATACGAGACATTTACATTATAACTATTATCGTTATAACTACGCCATTTTTTATGAATATCCTTTATAATTATCTGCATTCAAAAAATGTAGGAAACAAATTGATTTTCTTTTTTATTTATAAAATGTCATGTAAGACTTCGATTTATATGATAATATCTAATAGATTCTTTTCATTTTTATTTTCTTTTTTTTTTTTTTTTTTTTGCTTTCAGAGTGAAGAAACGAAGAATAACATAAAATCGTTCATGTTTGTTGTGTACATATTTGCCGTGGTATGCACTTTATATATTTACTGTTTCATCGGCGAGTGTTTTATTCAGGAGGTAAATAAAATATCAATTATTTCTGGCACAATTGAAATATCAATTACCTGATTAATATCATTTGTTTTATTCGATTAGAGTTCTAATTATGGTGATGCCATTTATAATTACGACTGGTATAACTTACCGGTAACAGAATCGAAATTTTTTCTTATTTGTATGACACGTACGAAGAAGCCGCAATTTTTAACATCTGGCAAATTTGCGGTCTTGTCCTTGTCCATTTTCACGGACGTAAGTACACTATGATTGATTTTTTTCTATTTTCTAGTTATGTTCCTTGCTGTAACAATACAATTGTTGTTTTCGTTGTAAGTATTATTTATTTCTTTAATACTTGCAGATCCTCAAAACTTCAATGGGATATTTATCGGTACTGCGAACATTTTTGTGAACAGAACTGATATGAAATGTATTACGTACTACGAAATATCTTTTATTTTCTTAATTCATCTTCCTACGTAGGAAGACAAATGATTTGTGTATACATCGTTGACTTGTATCAGCTTTAATTATTAGTGTCAAAGAAAATATTAATACAATTTTAAGACTGTCGATAAAAACAAATTAATTTATTTCTTTATCAACAAAATTTGTATCAAAAATTCCAATTGTTTTATATTTTAAAATGCCAATTATTTCTGATTTTATTGCTTCCCATACTCATATGGGTGAAAGTAACAATAATATTAATAGGAATAACAAATTTATTAAAAAATTTGAAATAAATATGTATGTATATGTATAATTGAAAAAAGTATGTTACATAAGAGAATATATGTCTGTTAAAAGAAAAATTATCGTTATTATTCATACGATTATTCAAACGTAATTAATTAATTTTTTCAAAGATAACAATATGCATGAGCTCAATTTGTTTTTCTTTTTAGTTATTTTTTTTTTTTTTTTTTTTTTTTTTATATATATATATTACGTATTCATGCTACAACAAAATTGGTATTGTGAAAAATGTTCTTTTCTCTTTACTTACATGAAAATCGAACGAACTTTCTGATATCATGTAAATATCATCTATATTTATCGAGATATTGAAGTTTTATGCATTTATTGCATCTGTTTAAAATTATTATAGAAATATTAATTGCATTTCAATAATCAATATATAAAATCGATTATTGGACGATACCGTTCGATTAACTGATTGTAAAAATGATATGTGCTGAATTCACTATTGGCAACATTTATAATATATTTTGTTTATTCCAACATCAAAATGTGCAAACATTTACATGACATTTTGAATTTAATAAAAATTGAGTAAACTAATAAATGAGCCATTTATTTTGTAAGTGGCCTAATTCCATTTGTCAATTTTTTCCGCTTGCCATAATTACATGTACAACTTTATCTTATTTATCAGTAAAGCATTTCAGGTTGCTTATATTCCGAGCAAATACGATAATTCTTGACACATAAGTTTTCAGTGTTAGTTCAATAATTTAACCGTGTAGTTTGAAAGTGGCCTAACTCCATTTATACTTATAAGAAATGGTAACTAAAAATTTTAAAAAAAATTGAAAAAGAAACAGAATTATAGAAGAATATTCGTCTTAAAAAAAAAAAAGGAACACATTATAGAAAGACACATTATAGCTTACAGTGACATGTGCGCATTTTTCATAAGACATCAATGAATGAAAATGAACATTTTAAAGTACTATATTTATTACCACGTCGGGATAGACCAAGAAAGTTCGAAAATATTATATTGACACTACTGTATAAAAATATCAGACAAATTACAACAGCAAAATTCAAGGACATAATTGACCTATTACGATATATACCACCGGAGCATCATGATTTCTTCAAATCCCTTTCACGCACACAAAATCTAGATGAGTAGTAAATTGTTTTGTAATAAATTTATGTTTGTAATTTTGTACGTTATGTAGTTAAAAAATGTTTTGAATCGCATAAATTATGTTTTCGAAGTGTTTTAAAGATATGTAAAAATAAATTGAGTATTGTTTTTTTTCAATTTGAAGCATCTTAAATTATGTTGAATGGACTTGGGCACCTTCAAATTTTATAATGAATATGATTGTTAATTTTGAAAGTGGCCTAACTCCATTCTTGATAAGAAAACGCATATTATTCACTTATTAATTGCCACTATTTTAATAGAAACTATAAATTTAACACCTTTAGATATACTTAAGTAGTATGACTCATTAGTATCCTATACGTATATTTTTAAATTCATTGAAACGCAAACCCTTAAATATCTCGATTTGAAAATAAATGGACTTAGGCCACTTTCAAAATACACGGCTCAAATAAGGATCATCAACGAAATATAATATTTCGTCACAAAAGTGAAAGAAAAAGTGAAGATAAATGTAACTCTGAAAAAAAAAATATTAACAAAAACATTTCCATGTCAATATATGAATTAAATCATCGTAGAAAATATAATAAATAAATTAATTGTATATAAGGAAAAAAAAAATCGAAATTCATAGAAATCAAGTGATACATACAAAAAAATAATTAGTGTAAGAAAATAATAAAAGTAAAATTTAGGGAAATGTAGAGATTAATCGATTGCACATAAAAATTAATAATCTCAAAATAAACGAAAAGAAGTTTTGTGTAAAATTGATAATTAAAAATAAAAGAATAAGTTTCCTTTTCTATTCGGAAATCATGTACTTTCTTAAATGCTGTATTCGTCACTCCCCTAACACGATAACCGCTAAACTAAAAAAAACAACGGTAAGGACTACTTACGAATAAATGTTTCCGTGAAGGAAAAATATTTTTCCCTTAAACTACCACCATTAATTCTGTCACAACCAATGTCGTTCCTTCGTCGTATTATGCCCAACTGAAAGCATAAAAAAAAAAAACACGAAAATTACGATCGAACGAAAAGTTTTACAGACTGAAAACATTTTCATATTGCCGATAAACCGAAATACTTCGAACTATAACCGCACGAAGAAAGGAAATTATACTGTAGGGAGAGATGCTACTTTTCTTCTTCATATCCATGACCACCCTCTTTGTTAAAAAAAAAAAGAAAAAAAAGAAAAGAAGAAGAAGAAAAAGTAAAAGAAAAAATATAAAAAGGAAAAATTTTCAATGAGAGGTAAATGCAATGAAGTTATAGCAACTTTTACATGAGGGTTGTGAAACAATAGAACGAAAGTGGTGAGAGTACATTTTTTACATATACCTCTCTAACACGCTATCAACGACCTACGGTAATCGATGGATTACGAAGTAACAGTTTAACTCGTTGATGGAAACAGTTAGAAACGAGTTCTTTCCCAATATTTTTTTTGTCAACTTGAAATTAACTATTCAACCAACCCCTATACGCGTATATCAACTTTTTAAACAAAGTTTACCAGGGAGGACGCTCGAACGTTTTGCCGTCAGTCTGTCGCAAACCTTCGAAGTGATAAAATGGAAAAAGATAGCATAGAAGTAAGATCAAGAGCATGATTTGCTTTTCTCTTATTTTGTGTTTCCTCTATTTTTTTTTTTTTTCTAATTGCAGAACGACTTTTGTCCCGAATATAAAGTGTCGTTGATATCCTAAGTGTAGTGATTGGAAATAATTTTCCATCGATCAAAGTGTGTCACGTTTATATCATTTGAAAGTTATTTTTGTGCTATTTTATTTGGAAGTTAATAATTTTTTCTTATATATATTTTCGTCATGCAATTTCATTTATAACCGTGCAGATATTATTGACTTTTCTATATACTTCGCAGACAATTCTGTGACGTTTCAGTTGATTTTTTTTTTTCAAGTCTACAATCATAGTCTTCATGTCGTCTGTTCTTGATGCTTGATTTTTTTCTTTTAAACTAAATAAATTTTTCTATCAATTTATGCTCGTGAATATAGTTGAAAATGTGAACCAATGTGATTTAATAATTATATTGATTTCATTCGTTGAACGATCATCGTTATAAATTTTTAACGGACAATATACCGGGTGTTCGAAACAAAAAATCTTTATCTCACATACGCGGCGTTTTTGAAAACAGTTGGTCTAGCAAGTATTATTTGATTGCAAAATTTGAAATATTATTTTACTTATTGTTATTATTATTAAGTGGAAAGATTCAATGATATCTTAAAGTTAACTTTCTTGTTCGGTAAAGAAAATATTAAAAAAATTTTTTGTTTTTTTTTTTTTTTTAACAAAGATTATTTCCATTATAAAAAAACGTAAGCTCGTATTTAAAAAAGTTGAAGTTAAGCTTGAATGGACTTCAAGATCGTTTAATAAATAGAAAAGGAAATGCAATAATATGTCGTGTTTATTATCAGATAAATTTTATGTGAATTATTTTTATCAAATATGTCGTGTTAACGAAATAAAAAATTAGTAACCCTTTATTTAGGTATCCATTATAAAATAATAAAAAATACATTAATATGATGATAAAGCTGTGCACATATATGAATATAAATTAATATATATAATTTTCTTTTCGTAATATATAAATATTATTATTAAATATTTACATGATAAAATATTAATATTTAATATTAAAATAAATCTAGAATATTAATATTTAATAATAATACGACCATTAATTGAATGATTCTAATTAAATACATAAGAATTTAAGTATATATAATAACAAAAGAATATACAGATATATCTATCCATTTTTTTTTTTTTGTAATTTCATTGTAATAAAAAAAATTATGGTGAATACGATCACGTTAAAATTATCAGAAATTAAAATCGGTATACATATAAATATGCATATATATAATAATAATCTGTGTATGTACATATATTATTATATTAATCATAAACGTAAAAATATATAGATTATACATATATACATTAAAATATCAACTAACTAATATATAATCATATTCTTTAATAAAATGTAATACATATATATAGATACATAAATAACTAATTATTCTAAAATCAATCTAGAATATTAATCAATTGAATATTTCTAATATAGGAACAAGGAATTGCCAATGTCAGAAGATCATTTATTTGGAACTCAAGGTTATTAAAATGCATGGGAATTTGGCCATTGCAGAACTACGTTCCGGTATTTCTCTTCTTCTTCATATATCTTTCTCTTCATTGTTGTCTAACACTCGCAGAACTATGGTGGGCACCAAAAACCGTGGAGAACGTCGTAACAAACATAGCAGAAAATATTGTTTTAACAATGACACTTACGAAAATTACAATTGCCAGAATGAACAGAGAAGCATTGCGTAAATTATTCATAGAACTCGAGGAATATTCAGTGACTGAGAAATATGAAACTAAAGAGGAGAAATTGACATTCGTGAATTATACTAAATTACCTCCATATTTTATTATAATAATTGGATCTTCAATGACAGTGGCCGAAGTATTGTATTATTTGGCTCGAGTTATTGAAGGAATTCAATTCGGTAATTTATAATTTTTGTTTCTTTTTTATGTGTGCCATTTTATTTTATATATTTTCTATTCAATCATTAATGGCTTTATCACGAACTGTTGTCCGAAGATTATAATTTTTATTTAATTACTTATTTATTCTTTATTTAATAGATATAGTCTCGCACACGAAGACATATTCATACACAAATACACGAGCATGCAATAATCGATAATCATTTCCAATATTTTTTATAAGTAAATTAATTTTATACTCCTAACGTTCAAAAGTATACGTCATTGCATGATGTTTCATTTACGATTGGACGTAACGACTAGAAATTAAAAGAATACAAAATTAATGATCTCTATGGTTAAGTTCTGAAGTTCAATAAATGCCAATTCAATATGAAAGAAAATTAGCAAGCAAGAAATTGCGTATCATTATTGACCAGTCAACGAGAAGATCAATTTCTTAGCATAATCGTTATCGTCGATGAGAAATGAGTTCAATACAGCTACATGACACATACCAATCAATGACTTTCTACGAATCAATCAGCTGTATTCACACCAAATCCAGATCTGATACTTGAAAACGGTGCTATCGTGCGTTTGATGATACCGCACCGGCATAATTCATTTTGATTTGCCGCAACCAATTGCTGTTAATGATTATTGTCCACAATTGAATTGATTGGATAAATAATTGTCGAAACAATGGCTTGCACTGGTTAATAACATACGCGTTATATCGCAACTTGCTAACGGCAAAATCAGTCGATCTACCCAAAAGAACGATAAACCAACATTGCTAGAAAGTTTTACTGAGTTCATCGTATTCATTTCATATTACTATATCGGATTATTATTTTTTTAGATTTATGGAGCATTACATAAACTATAAAATATCTCGAAATGTCGGTGATTTTCAAGTTCACATCGAATCATATTTTTCATCACTGCGTGCACATTTTTTACGGAAGATTCCGTGAAAATTTACAGAAGAGATTGCAAAATCACAATTAATTTGAAAGGAAATAAAAAAAAAAATTGTATCCAACTATGTGTCTAATTTTAAATTAATTAACTAAGGGTACAATTACTTAATGGTATCCCGTAATATTACACGTATCGGACATTTAAGCCGATATGAATATTAGGAATATTTGTATTAATCATCTAATCGAATGTTTTAATTCATGTCATCCTTTCGTAATTCTTTTTCTTAAGAAAATTATTTTGTTCCTTTTTCTCTGTTTCTACGTTTCAGCAAAGCAAAACAATTCGATGGGTTATAAGTTACCGTACAAAACATTAGCAATCATGGAATTAAGGGACAGCAGAATTTACACTATGATTTGTGCCTACCAAATAATATTTGTACCGTCTATCGTATTAGGTTACGTAGGATTCGACTGCATGTTCGTCAATTTGTCCATTCAAGTAATTACACAATTCTCTACATTGTCCTATAAGGTGAAAGCAGTATTAGATAATTCTAAAAATCATCGCGAGGGTATGAAGAGACTTGTACAGCGACATTATCGACTGATAAGGTGAAAAATAATACGTAAAATTATACGAAAACTCTTCATATATTTGCATGTGTATATATATATATATATAAATGTCTATATACATAAACCATGTTAAAATATTCTATTTTGAAATTTATTAAATAATTCTTTTACTTAATTTACACAGACACACATACGTGTATACATATGCACGTTATTGCGTTTTCTAACACATTTAATAAAAACACATTTACTGGATTATCTATTATGTGTTATTTGGTTAATAAACAAGTTCTTTTACGGGTGTCACGCTTTAACAATTTAGTTCTTTCGTCAATTATTTATTATTTGGATATTTTTTTATTTTTTATTACCTATTCAATAATTCATTCATTATATTTAATTTGTTATTTTGATATTTCCTCATTATTTTGTATTTTTTATTATCTATTAATTTCAATCATCTCCATATTGTTGAATATATGAAAAATAAAAAAAATATTTCCATCTAAATAAAATTGATTTGATTTTTTCCTTATTTTATTTCAATAATGGAAATACAAGCAATAATAATGAACACTGTCGTAATAATTTATATATACTTGAAATATTTTTCTATTCTAGTCTTATATCTACATGAAATATAATATTTCAGATTGACGGAAAGATTGGAGGATAACTTTAATTTACCGATTATGCAGCAAATGTTGGGTACCACAGTTCATATCTGTATTTCCGGTTACTTCGTACTGACGGTAAAAATCCATGCGAATATTTTCATTTTGTTTCATTTCAACGAAGTACATAACCTCGTAGCATAAAGAAACAAACATTTTTTGCCATCTCCATCACTTTTCATTTATTTGTTCACTAATACATATAATTTAGTAAAATAAACTTTCTTTTACTTGATAGGATTTACTTTAAAGATTAAATTAATAATTTATTTTCGTAAAAAACATAAAGAATGGCGGAGATACGAAATTCGCATAGATACAGGAAACAATTTGTTATTTACGATAATTTCCATGAGTATTCATTAAAAAGAATGGAAAGAATTTATTCATAAATAATTCTTAAAATATAAAAGTAAAAAAGTACTTATTCAGCCGAATTTTTGAAATTCTACGTTTATAAAAATTGGCGAACATTTTAATTTATCTCTTACATTTTCATGAGAAAAATTAGACTTTCTTTTTGTTCCAAAAAAAGAAGCATTCCGCAAAAAAGTCAAGCTTTCAGAAAGACTTAAATGAAATGCACATAATAATGGAAATTTTTGAAGCCTCTCATTTCAGTATTTTTAAAGAAATTTCTAATATAACACATTTCAACACATTTAAAGTTTCCCATTACGAACAGCTAACATGTATTTTTGAAGATTCGCATTGAATCATCGAATTCAAAACCTCGTAATAAACTTTCAATTGTCGAATGAAAATTTAATTGTTATTAATATTCGTTTTTATGAAATTAGCAAGTTACTTTTGCAGTGTTTGCTGATCACGTTCGGCCACATTTTTGCAAAAATTATCTTCTAGCATGGCAAACTGATAAATAAGCAGATTAATTTCCATACCTAACGATTCTATTAATTCGAAAGTGGATGACATTTCTTGATTTAAAAGACAAGGAGCGATGTTCAATGAGTTTTCTGTCATCGCGGATCCGATGATAATAGTTTGACCTGGCAAAGTCTCGATACAAAATGATTAAAACTTTCATTCGTATTTTCCATAAATCCGTAAAGTCAATGTAGCAACGAAGTATCCTTACTTTAATCTTCATTAATATCCTTTAATTTCTTCAAAATATTTTTCTGTAAACCTTTTATATTCATGGTCAAAAATGTCTAATTCAATCTTTAGCATTTGCTTGTTACCAACTTCGCCATTATCCTGGATCGTGTAAACAATAATGATATTCATTTGTAAATCTGTAATGGTGAAATATTGATCGATTTAGTTGTTTTTTCATCGAATTCTATTTTCACGACGTAACACTTGTAAATTTATTGTTAATGAATTTTACACGCTGTTTTGCACATCCTGTTTGATGCAATTGTTATCAATTTTTGTTGTACAACTAACAAACTGTACATATACGCTTGTACAAACAAGTTTTCGAGAATTGCAATAAAATGAAAAACATTGAATATTCGAATGAAAATGTATGTAAATGATACTTTTGTTCGATTTGTGAACATTATACGAGACAATTACGTTATAATCACTATAACTCCGCCATTTTTTAAAGATACCCTTCATAATGGTCTACATTCAGGAAATGTAAAAAACAAATTGATTTCTTTTTTAATCCAATGTACGTCATCAATTTATATGATAACACTTAATCGATACACTTCATTTTTTTCACTTTTAGGGAAAAGATACGAACGACAGTATAAAATCATTTCTGTTCGTTGTATACGTCTTTGCCGTGGTATGCACTCTTTTTATTTACTGTTTCATCGGCGAGTGTTTTATTCAAGAAGTATATAAAATATCAATTATTTCTTCTAAAATTAAAGTATCAATTACTTCATTAATATCATTTGTTTTATTGAATTAGAGTTATAATTTTGGTGATGCCATTTATAATTACGACTGGTATAACTTACCGGTAACAGAATCGAAATTTTTTCTTATTTGTATGACACGTACGAAGAAGCCGCAATTTTTAACATCCGGCAAATTTGCAGTCTTGTCCTTGTCCATTTTCACAGGCGTAAGTATACTATGATTGATTTTTTCTATTTTCAAGTAATGTTGCTTGCTGTAACAAAACAATTGTTTCTTACGTTATAAGAATTATTTATTTCTTTAATACTTGCAGATCCTCAAAACTTCAATGGGATATTTATCGGTACTGCGTACATTTTTGTGAACAGAACTAATATGAAATGTATTACGTACTAGGAAATATCATTTTTTTTTTCTTAAGTCGTATTTCCTCGTAGGAAGACAAATTGTTTGTGTATACATCGTTGAATTGTATCAACGTTAATTATTAGTATCAAAGAAAATATTAATACAATTTTAAGACTGTCGATGAAAACACTTAGTTTCATTTTTTGGCAAGAAAATATGTATTAAAAACACCAGTTTTCCCATAATTTAAAATGTATGACCAATTATTCCTGTTTCTTTTGCTTTCCATACTCATATGGGAGAAAGTAATAATAATATTAATAGGAAAAACAAATTTATTAGAAAATTTGAAATAAATATGTATGTATATGTATAATTGAAAAAAGTATGTTACATAAGAGAATATATGTCTGTTAAAAGAAAAATTATCGTTATTATTCATACAATTATCCGAGCATAATTAATCCATTTTTTCAAAGTTAAAAATATGCATGAGCCCAATTTGTTTTTCTTTTTAGTTATTTTTGTTTTTTAATATATTACGTAATCGTGCAACAACAAAATTATTATTGACATAAATGTTCTTTTCTCCTTATTAACATGAAAACCAAACGAGCTTTGTGATATTATGTATATATCATCTATATTTATCGAGATATTCAAGTTTTATGCATTTATTGGAAGGAATCTGTTTAAAATTATTATAGAAATATTAATTGCATTTCAATAATCAATATACAAAATCGATTATTGTACGATCTCGTTCGATTAACTGATTATAAAAATGATAAGCGTTCATCTCACTAATGACAAAATTAATAATATATTTTGATTATTTCAACATCAAAATATGCAAACATTTACATCACGTTTTGAATTTAATAAAAATTGAATAAACTAATAAATAGTGATCATCAACGAAGTATAATATTTCGTCACAAAAGTGAAAGAAAAAGTGAAGATAAACATAAATCTGAAAAAGAAAATATTAACGACAACATTTCCATGTCGATATATGAATTAATAGAAATCATCGTATCAAATATAATAAATAAAATCTATTAATGGTATATAAGGAAAAAAAAATAGAAATTTATAGAAATCAAGTGATACATATAAAGAACGTAATTTGTGTGAGAAAAAAATGAAAATAAAATTTAGAGAAATGTACAGATTAATCGATTGCACATAAAAATTAATAATCTCAAAATAAACGAAAAGAAGTTTTGTGTAAAATTGATAATTAAAAATAAAAGAATAAGTTTCCTTTTCTATTCGGAAATCATGTACTTTCTTAAATGCTGTATTCGTCACTCCCCTAACACGATAACCGCTAAACTAAAAAAAACAACGGTAAGGACTACTTACGAATAAATGTTTCCGTGAAGGAAAAATATTTTTCCCTTAAACTACCACCATTAATTCTGTCACAACCAATGTCGTTCCTTCGTCGTATTATGCCCAACTGAAAGCATAAAAAAAAAAAACACGAAAATTACGATCGAACGAAAAGTTTTACAGACTGAAAACATTTTCATATTGCCGATAAACCGAAATACTTCGAACTATAACCGCACGAAGAAAGGAAATTATACTGTAGGGAGAGATGCTACTTTTCTTCTTCATATCCATGACCACCCTCTTTTTAAAAAAAAAAAAAAAAAAAGAGGGAGAAGAAAAAGTAAAAGAAAAAAAATGATAAGGAAAAAAAATTTCAATGAGAGGTAAATGCAATGAAGTTATAGCAACTTTTACATGGGGGTTGTGAAACAATGGGATGTCCTACGCAGTGAACCGAAGTGGTGAGAGCACATTTTTTACGTATACTCCCCTGCCACGACATCAACGACCTACGGTAATCGATGAATTACGAAGTAACAGTTTAACTCGTTGATGGAAACAGTTAGAGACGAGTTCTTCCCCAATATTTTTTTCGTCAACTTGAAATTAACTATTCAACCAACCCCTATACGCGTATACCAACTTTTTAAACAAAGTTTACCAGGGAGGACGCTCGAACGTTTTGCCGTCAGTCTGTCGCAAACCTTCGAAGAGATAAAATGGAAAAAGATAGCATGGAAGTAAGATCAAGAGGATGGTTTGCTTTTCTCTTATTTTGTGTTTCCTCTATTTTTTTTTCTTTTTTTTCTAATTGCAGAACGACTTTTGTCCCGAATATAAAGTGTCGTTGATATCCTAAGTGTAGTGATGGGAAATAATTTTTCGTTGATCAAAGTGTGTCACGTTTATTTCAATTGAAAATTATTTTTGTGCAATTTTATTTGGAAGTTAATAATTTTTTCTTATATATATTTTTGTTGTCATGCAATTTCATTTATAACCGTGCAGATATTATTGACTTTTCCTTATACTTCGCAGACAATTCTGTGACGTTACAGTTGATTTTTTTTTTTCAAGTCTACAATCATAGCTTCATGTTGTCTGTTTTTAATGCTTGATTTTTTTCTTATAAACTAAATAAATTTTTCTATCAATTTATGCTCGTGAATATAGTTGAAAATGTGAACCAATGTGATTTAATAATTATATTGATTTCATTCGTTGAACGATCATCGTTATAAATTTTTAACGGACAATATACCGGGTGTTCGAAACAACAAAATCTTTATCTCGGATACGGAGCATTTTTGAAAAACGTTGTTCTAGCAAGTATTATTTGATTGCTAAAGTAGAAATATTATTTTATTTATTATTATTATTATTAAGTGGAAATATTCAATGATATCTTAAAGTTAACTTTCTTGTTCGATAAAGAAAATACTGAAAAAATTTTTTTTTCTTCTTTATTTAACAAAGATTGTTTCCATTATAAAAAAACGTAATAGAAAATTCCCGTATTTAGAAAAGTTGAAGTTAAGCTTGAATGGCCTTCAAGATCGTTTAATAAATAGAAAAGGGAATGCAATAATATGTCGTGTTTATTATCAGATAAATTTTATGTGAATTATTTTTATCAAATATGTCGTGTTAACGAAATAAAAAATTAGTAGCGCTTTATTTCTGTACCTATTATAAAGTAATAAAAAATAAATTAATATAATGATAAAGTTGTGCACATATATGAATATAAATTAATATATATAATTTTCTTTTCGTAATATATAAATATTATTACTACATATTTACATGATAAAACATTAATATTTAATAATAATAAGAACATTAATCAAATATTTCAAATAAAATACATAATTAAATAGACTTAAATATAATAGATAATAGAATAAATAGACATCTATATATCTTTTTTTGAATGATTTAATTATAATAAAAAATTGAAGTAAATATAATATTATAAGAAATTTAAATCGATATAAACATAAATACGTTCATCTATATATTATTAATCTATATATGCACATTTATCATTACATTAATTATGAATATATAAATATATAATTTATACGTATATATATATATATACACATATCGTAATATATACACATATACATGTATATATCATATCATAAATAGCAATATATTAATATAACACGATTATAATATATATATATTAACTATAATACAATGTATTTAGATGCATAATTGAATAATTAATCTATAACTAATCTATCAAATTAATTCACTGAATGTTTTTAAAATAGGAATTAGGAATTGCCAACATCCGAAGATCATTCATTTGGAGCTCAAAGTTCTTAAAATGCATAGGAATTTGGCCACTGAAGAACTACGTTCCGATATTTCTCTTCTTTTTCACATATCTTACCATTCATTGTTCTTTAGCAATCGCTCAATTATTTTGGGCTCCTAAAACTTTGGAGAATATAGTATCGAACGTAGCAGAAAATATTGCCTCGACAATGACACTTACGAAAATTACAATCACCAGAATGAACAGAGAAGCATTACGTAAATTATTCACAGAACTCGAGGAGTATTCACTGACTGAAAAATACGAAACTGAAGAGGAAAAACTGACATTCGTGAATTATTCTAAATTACCTCCATATTTTATTATAATAATTACCTCTTCGATGACAGTGGCCGAATTATTGTATTATATGAATCGAGTTACCGAAGGAATTCAAATTGGTAATACATAATATATGTCTCCTTTCTTTTTTTCTATGTGACAATATACTTTACATATTTTCTATTAATTTCATTATGCTATTAAGTGTAATCCGACCATTATATTTTTTATGTATTTATTTATTTACTTACTATTGAATTAGTAAATGTACTCACACATATAAACAAATAATCGTGTACACACGCGCTACCATGCAATAATCGCTAATTCTTCTAAATATTTTTATTAAGTAAATTAATTCCGATCTGCCGACGTTAAAAAAGAATATATACGTCATTGCATGTTGTTTTATTTTCTTTTGATAATTAACGCAACAACTACCAAATAAAGCAACAATAAGTTTGTGACCTATATGGGTAAATAACGAAGCTCAATAAGCGCTAATGTTGGTAGAAACAATTTGATCTAATCATTATTTAGACTTGATCCAATAATGCTCAAAGTAAATGACCTGTGGTATTTGATAATGATGTATTGAAATCATTGTCAAATTGAGTCTGATCCATAAATGACAGTGCGAGAAACTTTTGATACATTTAGGATTACTTGGTCGACAGTAAAAAGACATCTTGATGAAATCGAAAATATATCTAATCGAGACATTTGTATTCCGTATCAATTTGTCGAATACGAACTAATATCAACGAGGAAGAATTTGCACATCTTTACTGACCAGATAACAAAGTGACACAATCCTAAGCTTAATTGTTACCACAAATGATTAATTGTTACCATAAATTGTTACTATAAATCCTATACAGCAACTTGAATCGACACCAATCAATAACTTCCTCCGGAACTAACCAGCTGTACCTACATATAATCTAGGTCTAATATTGAATATCGTGCGATTGATGGTATCCCACTGCCATAATTCATTTTGTATTACTATAACTAATTGACAATGTTATTCAATGCCCACAATTAGAATAGTTACATAATGAATTGCTGAAAAAACTGTCGGCATTAAATATCAACAATAAACGCGCAACATACTAATGAAAGAATCGGTCCATGAAAATAATGAACCAACTTAGCCAAGAAGTTTTAACATATTTACTGTATTCATTCGATATAACGTCATTGGATTACCATTTGCTTTAAATCTGTGGAATATTTCATAAAAATTGCAATGTCTCGAAATGCCAATAGCTTTCAAATTCATCTCGAATCATATTTCTCATCATGGTGTGGATATTTTTATGAAAGGTGACTTGAAAATTTACAGAAGAAATGACAAAGTCGCAATTGATTTGAAAAGAATTAAAAAAAAAAATTGTATCCAAGTGTGTGTCTAACTTTAAATTAATTAATTAAATGAAAAATTACTTAAGGGTACTCTGTAATATTACATGATTGAAATATGGTTTACCATTGTGTCGGATATTAAGTTGATATGTATAATTGGAATATTTGTATTAATGAGCTAATCGAATGTATTTGTTCTTTTATCTTTTTGTAATTATTTTTCTTAAGAAAATTACTTTGGTTTCTTTTTCTCTGTTTCTATTTTTCAGCATGGCAAAACAATTCCATGAGTTATAAATTACCCTATAGAACATTAGAAATCATGGATTTAAAGGACAGCAGGATTTATGCTATGATGTGCGCTTATCAATTAATATTCGTACCATGTATCGTATTAGGTTACGTAGGATTCGATTGCATGTTCGTCAATTTATCCATTCAAGTAATTGCACAATTCTCCATATTATCCTGTAAAGTGAAATCAATATTAAATAATTCTAAAAATCATCATGAGGGTATGAGGAACATTGTACTACGACATTATCGATTGATAAGGTAAAATATGTTTATATAAAAATAATTGATGTGTGTGTGTGTGTGTGTGTGTGTGTAGGTATATTTATAACCAATGATAAATAATTTTATTTTGAAGTTTAATAATAAATTTCTTTACTTTATTTACGAACAGCCAAACACAAGTATATATTTATGCACATTATTACAGTTTGTAACACATTAGAAATTATCTCATTTTCTCGACTATTTATTAGTTGTTATTTTGTTAATAAATAATTTCTTTTAATGATGGGTCGCTGCAACAATTTAATTCTTTCATCATATATATTTCATTCTTTATTTATTATTTTATATTTGCTACTCAATTATTTAATCACTATATTTTAATCGTTAATTCAATAACTGTTCATTATTTTGTATTTATTATTATTTACTAATTTCAATCATCTTTACATCGTTGAATATATCAACAATTAAAAAAAAAATTTTCTTCTAAATAAAATCATATTGATTTCTTTCTAATTTTGTTTCAATAATGGAAATACAAACAATACTAATGAACTCTATCGTAATATTTTATTTTTTATATCTACATGAAATATAATATTTCAGATTGACGGAAAGATTGGAGGATAACTTTAATTTACCGATTATGCAGCAAATATTGGGTACCACCGTTCATATCTGTATTTCCGGTTACTTCGTACTGACGGTAAAAATCCATGCGAATATTTTCATTTTGTTTCATTTCAACGAAGTACATAACCTCGTAGCATAAAGAAACAAACATTTTTTGCCATCTCCATCATTTTTCATTTATTTGTTCACTAATATATATAATTTAGTAAAATAAACTTTCTTTTACTTGATAGGATTTACTTTAAAGATTAAATTAATAATTTATTTTCGTAAAAAACATAAAGAATGGCGGAGATACGAAATTCGCATAGATACAGGAAACAATTTGTTATTTACGATAATTTCCATGAGTATTCATTAAAAAGAATGGAAAGAATTTATTCATAAATAATTCTTAAAATATAAAAGTAAAAAAGTACTTATACAGCCGAATTTTTGAAATTCTACGTTTATAAAAATTGGCGAACATTTTAATTTATCTCTTACATTTTCATGAGAAAAATTAGACTTTCTTTTTGTTCCAAAAAAAGAAGCATTCCGCAAAAAAGTCAAGCTTTCAGAAAGACTTAAATGAAATGCACATAATAATGGAAATTTTTGAAGACTCTCATTTCAATATTTTTTAAAGAAATTACTAATATAACACATTTCAAAACATTTGAAGATCCCCATTACGAACAGCTAACATGTATTTTTGAAGATTCGCATTGAACCATCGAATTCAATACCACGTAATAAACTTTCAATTGTCGAATGAAAGTTTAATTGTTATTAATTCGTTTTTATGAAATTAGCAAGTTACTTTTGCAGTGTTTGCTGATCAAGTTCGGCCACATTTTTGCAAAAATTATCTTCTAGCATGGCAAACTGATAAATAAGCAGATCAATTTCCATACCTAACGATTCTATTAATTTGAAAATGAATGACATTTCTTGATTTAAGAGACAAGGAGCGATGTTCAATGAATTTTCTGTCATCGCGGATCCGATGATGATAGTTTGACCTGGCAAAGTCTCGATACAAAATGATTAAAACTTTCATTCGTATTTTCCATAAATCCGTAAAGTCAATGTAGCAACGAAGTATCCTTACTTTAATCTTCATTAATATCCTTTAATTTCTTCACAATATTTTTCTGTAAACCTTTTATATTCATGGTCAAAAATGTCTAATTCAATCTTTAGCATTTGCTTGTTACCAACTTCGCCATTATCCTGGATCGTGTAAACAATAATGATATTCATTTGTAAATCTGTAATGGTGAAATATTGATCGATTTAGTTGTTTTTTCATCGAATTCTATTTTCACGACGTATCCCTTGTAAATTTATTGTTAATGAATTTTACATGCTGTTTTGTACATCCTGTGTGATGCAATTGTTATCAATTTTTGTTGTACAACTAACAAACTGTACATATACGCTTATACAAAGAAATTGTCGGGAATTGCAATAAAATGAAAAACATTGAATATTCGAATGAAAATGTATGTAAATAATAATTTTGTTCGATTTGTGAACATTATACGAGACAATTACGTTATAATCACTATAACTCCGCCATTTTTTATAGATACCCTTCATAATGGTCTACATTCAGGAAATGTAAACAACAAATTGATTTCTTTTTTAATCCAATGTACGTCATCAATTTATATGATAACACTTAATCGATACACTTCATTTTTTTCACTTTTAGGGAAAGGATACGAATGACAGTATAAAATTGTTTCTGTTCGTTGTATACATCTTTGCCGTGGTATGCACTCTTTTTATTTACTGTTTCATCGGCGAGTGTTTTATTCAAGAAGTATATAAAATATCAATTATTTCTTCTAAAATTAAAGTATCAATTACTTCATTAATATCATTTGTTTTATTGAATTAGAGTTATAATTTTGGTGATGCCATTTATAATTACGACTGGTATAACTTACCGGTAACAGAATCGAAATTTTTTCTTATTTGTATGACACGTACGAAGAAGCCGCAATTTTTAACATCCGGCAAATTTGCGGTCTTGTCCTTGTCCATTTTCACGGACGTAAGTACACTATGATTGATTTTTTCTATTTTCAAGTAATGTTCCTTGCTTTAACAATACAATTGTTTCTTTCATTATTTATTTCTTTAATACTTGCAGATCCTCAAAACTTCAATGGGATATTTATCGGTACTGCGTACATTTTTGTGAATAGAACTAATATGAAATGTATTACGTACTAGAAAATATCTTTTTTTTTTTCTTAAGTCGTATTTCCTCGTAGGAAGACAAATTGTTTGTGTATACATCGTTGACTTGTTTCAACGTTAATTATTAGTGTCAAAGAAAATATTAATACAATTTTAAGACTGTCGATGAAAACACATAGTTTTCTTTTTTGACAAAAAAATTTTCTATTAAAAACACCAGTTGTCCCATATTTTAAAATGTATGGCCAATTATTTCTGATTCTTTTTTCTGATTTCTGATTGCTTTCCATACTTATATGGGAGAAAATAATAATAATATTAAAAGGAAAAACAAATTTATTAAAAAATTTGCAATAAATATGTATGTATATGTATAATTGAAAAAAGTATGTTACATAAGAGAATATATGTCTGTTAAAAGAAAAATTATCGTTATTATTCATACAATTATCCGAGCATGATTAATCCATTTTTTCAAAGTTAATAATATGCATGAGCTCAATATGTTTTTCTTTTTAGTTATTTTTGTTTTTTAATATATTACGTATTCGTGTAACAATATAATTGATATTGACAAAATTGTTCTTTTCACTTTATTTATATAAAAACCGAACGAACTTATGTATTTATGTAAACATGACAAGGGCTGAAATCACTATTAGCAAAATTTATGAAGAGTTAATATATTTTGATTATTTCAACATGAAAATGTACGAACATTTATATTACATTTTAAATATAATTAAAATTGAGTAAACTAATAAATATGAAAGAAAAAGTGAAGATAAATATAACTCTAAAAAAAAAAGTATTAACAAAAACATTTCCAGGTCGATATACGAATTAATTAAAATCACCGTACAAAGTATAATAAATAAAAACTATTAATGGTATACAAAGAAAAAAAAATCGAAATTCATAAAAATCTAATGTATTTTTTTTGTGTTTTTCATACAAAAAACATAATTCGTGTAAAAAAAAAATGCAACTAAAATTTATGAAAACATAGAGATTAATGCACATAAAAATTAATAATTTCAAAATAAAAGAGGAGAAATTTTATGTAAAATAGATAATTAAAAATAAAAGAGAAAGTTTCCTTATCTAGCCGGAAATCATGTACTTCCTTAAATGCTGTATTCGTCACTCCCCTAACGCGATGACCGCTAAACTAAAAAAAACAACGGTAAGGACTACTTACGAATAAATGTTTCCTTGAAGGAAAAATATTTTTCCCTTAAACTATCACCATTAATTCTGTCACAACCAATGTCGTTCCTTCGACGTATTACGCCGAACTGAAAACATAAAAAAAAACGAAAATAACGATCGAACGAAAAGTTTTATAGACTAAAAACATTTCTATATTGCCGAATACTTCGAACTATAACCACACGAAGAAAGGAAATAATACTGTTGGCAGAGATGCTACTTTTCTACTTCATATCCACCCTCTTTCTTAAAAAAAAAAAAAAGAAGAGGGAGAAGAAAAAGCAAAAGAAAAAAGATAATAAGGAAAAAAAATTTCAATGAGAGGTAAATGCAATGAAGTTATAGCAACTTTTACACGGGGGTTGTGAAACAATGGGATGTCCTACGTGGTGAACCGAAGTCGTGAGAGCACATTTTTTACGTTTACTCCCCTACCACGATACCAACAACCTACAGTAATCGATGAGCGTGACAAAGTAGCAGTTTAACTCGTTGATGAAAACAGTTAGAGACGACTTCTTTCTCAATATTTTTTTCGTCAATTTGAAATTAACTATTCAACCAACCCTTATACGCGTATACCAACTTTTTAAACAAAGTTTACCAGGGAGGACGCTCGAACGTTTTGCCGTCAGTCTGTCGCAAACCTTCGAAGAGATAAAATGGAAAAAGATAGCATGGAAGTAAGATCAAGAGGATGGTTTGCTTTTCTCTTATTTTGTGTTTCCTCTATTTTTTTTTCTTTTTTTTCTAATTGCAGAACGAATTTTGTCCCGAATATAAAGTGTCGTTGATATCCTAAGTGTAGTGATTGGAAATAATTTTTCGTCGATCAAAGTGTGTCACGTTCATTTCAATTGAAAATTATTTTTGTGCAATTTTATTTGGAAGTTAATAATTTTTTCTTATATATATTTTCGTTGTCATGCAATTTCGTTTATAACCGTGCAGATATTATTGACTTTTCCTTATACTTCGCAGACAATTCTGTGACGTTACAGTTGATTTTTTTTTTCAAGTCTACAATCATAGCTTCATGTTGTCTGTTTTTGATGCTTGATTTTTTTCTTTTAAACTAAATAAATTTTTCTATCAATTTATGCTCTGAATATAGTTGAAAATGTGAATCAATGTGATTTAATAATTATATCGATTTCATTCGTTGGACGATCATCGTATAAAATTTTTAACGGACAATATACCGGGTGTTCGAAACAAAAAATCTTTATCTCACATACGCGGCATTTTTGAAAAAAAGTTGGTCTAGCAAGTATTATTTAATTGCAAAAGTTGAAATATTATTTTACTTATTGTTATTATTATTAAGTGGAAAGATTCAATGATATCTTAAAGTTAACTTTCTTGTTCGGTAAAGAAAATATTTAAAAAATTTTTTGTTTTTTTTTTTTTTTTTTTTAACAAAGATTATTTCCATTATAAAAAAACGTAAGCTCGTATTTAGAAAAGTTGAAGTTAAGCTTGAATGGACTTCAAGATCGTTTAATAAATAGAAAAAAGGATGCAATGATATATCGTGTTTATTATCAGACAAATTTTATATGAATTATCTTTATCAAATATGTCGTGTTAACGAAATAAAAAATTAGTAACGCTTTATTTATATACCCATTATAAAATAATAAAATATACATTAATATGATGATAAAGCTGTGCACATATATGAATATAAATTAATATATATAATTTTCTTTTCGTAATATATAAATATTATTATTAAATATTTACATGATAAAATATTAATCTTGAATATTAAATGTAAAGTAAATGTAAAATATTTAATAATAATAAGAACATTAATCAAATATTTCAAATAAAATACATAATTAAATGGATTTAAATATATTAAATAATACAATATATAGATATCTATACATCATTTTTTTAATGATTTAATTATAATACAAAAATTGAATTAAATATAATATTATAAGAAATTTAAATCGATATAAACATAAATACGTTCATCTATATTAATAATCTATATATGCACATTTATCATTATATTAAATATGAATATATAAATATATATATATATATATATATATATATATATATACATACATATATATATACATATATACGTGTATATATGATATTATAAATAACAATATATGAATATAATATATATATTAACTATGATACAATACAATGTATTTAGATGCATAATTAAATAATTAATCTATAACATATCTCACAAATTAATCAACTAAATGTTTTCAAAATAGGAATTAGGAATTTCCAACGTCCGAAAATCATTTATTTGGAGCTCAAGGTTCTTAAAATGCATGGGAATTTGGCCAATGAAGAACTACATTCCGATATTTCTCTTCTTTTTCACATATCTTACCATTCATTGTTCTTTAGCAATCGCTGAATTATTTTGGGCTCCAAAAACTTTGGAGAATGTCGTATCGAACGTAGCAGAAAATATTGCCTCAACAATGACACTTACGAAAATTACAATGACCAGAATGAACAGAGAAGCATTACGTAAATTATTCACAGAACTCGAGGAGTTTTCGCTGACTGAAAAATACGAAACTAAAAAGGAAAAACTGACCTTCGTGAATTATTCTAAATTACCTCCATATTTTATTATAATAATTACCTCTTCAATGACAGTGGCCGAATTATTGTATTATATGAATCGAGTTACCGAAGGAATTCAAATTGGTAATATATAATTTTTGTCTTCTTTTTTTTTTCTATGTGACATTATACTATACATATTTTCTATTAATTTCATTATGCTATTAAGTGTAATCCGACGATTATATTTTTTATCTATTTATTTATTTACTTACTATTGAATTAGTAAATGTACTCACACATATAAACAAATATTCATGTACACATGCACTAGTATACAATAATCGCCAATTCTTCTAAATATGTTTAATAAATAAATTAATTTCAACCTGCCGACGTTAAAAACGGATATATACCTCATTGCATGTTGTTTTATTATCTTTTGATAATTAACAAAACAACTGCAAATTAAAGCAACAATAACTTTGTGATCTTTAAGGGTAAGTAACGAAGGTCAATAAGTGCTAATGTTGGTACAAACAATTTGATCTAATCATTATTTAGACTTGATCAAATGATGCTCAAAGTAAATGATCTGTGGTATTTAATAATGACGTAATGAAATCATTGTCAAATTGAGTCTGATCCATAATTGACAAAGCGAGAAATTTTTGATACATTTAGGATTACTTGGTCGACAGTAAAAAGACATCTTGATGAAATCGAAAATATATCTAATCGAGACATTTGTATTCCGTATCAATTTGTCGAATACGAAATAATATCAACGAGGAAGAATTTGCACATCTTTACTGACCAGATAACAAAGTGACACAATCCTAAGCTTAATTGTTACCACAAATGATTAATTGTTACCATAAATTGTTACTATAAATCCTATACAGCAACTTGAATCGACACCAATCAATAACTTCCTCCGGAACTAACCAGCTGTACCTACATATAATCTAGGTCTGATATTAAATATCGTGCGATTGATGGTATCCCACTGCCATAATTCATTTTGTATTACTATAACTAATTGACAATGTTATTCAATGCCCACAATTAGAATAGTTACATAATGAATTGCTGAAAAAACTGTCGGCATTAAATATCAACAATAAACGCGCAACATACTAATGAAAGAATCGGTCCATGAAAATAATGAACCAACTTAGCCAAGAAGTTTTAACAAATTTACTGTATTCATTCGATATAACGTCATTGGATTACCATTTGCTTTAAATCTGTGGAATATTTCATAAAAATTGCAATGTCTCGAAGTGCCAATAGCTTTCAAATTCATCTCGAATCATATTTCTCATCATGGTGTGGATATTTTTATGAAAGGTGACTTGAAAATTTTACAGAAGAAATGACAAAGTCGCAACTGATTTGAAAAGAATTAAAAAAATAAATTGTATCCAAGTGTGTGTCTAACTTTAAATTAATTAATTAAATGAAAAATTACTTAAGGGTACTCTGTAATTTTACATGATTGAAATATGGTTTACCATTGTGTCGGATATTAAGTTGATATGTATAATTGGAATATTTGTATTAATGAGCTAATCGAATGTATTTGTTCTTGTATCTTTTTGTAATAATTTTTCTTAAGAAAATTACTTTGGTTTCTTTTTCTCTGTTTCTACTTTTCAGCAAGGCAAAACAATTCCATGGGTTATAAATTGCCGTATAGGACATTAGAAATCATGGATTTAAAGGACAGCAGGATTTATGCTTTGATATGCGCTTATCAACTAATACTCGTACCTGCTATCATATTAGGTTACGTAGGATTCGACTGCATGTTCGTCAATTTATCCATTCAAGTAATTACACAGTTCTCCATATTATCCTATAAAGTGAAATCAATATTAGATAATTCTAAAAATTATCGTGATGGTATGAAGAAACTTGTCTTACGACATTATCGATTGATAAGGTAAAATATAATTATATAACAATAATAAATTATATAATAATAATTGATAAGTATGTGTGTGTTTATTTTATTTTAAATTTTGATAATAAATTTCTTCAGTTTATTTACAAACACACAAACACATATATATATTATATTTATACACGTTAATGCATTTTGTAACACAATATTACAAATTATCTCATTTTCTCGATTATTTATTATTTATTATTTTGTTAATAAACAATTCCTTTTATGAATGGCTCGCTTCAACAATTTAGTTCTATCATCATTTATTTGTTATTTTATTATTTTATCATTTTTTTATTTCCTATTCAATTATTTATTCATTATATTCTATTAATTAATTCAATATCTATTCATTATTTTGTATTCATTATTATTTATTATTTGATTACGTATTTATTAATTTCAATCATCTTCATGTCGTTAAATATATCAAAAATAAAAAAAAATATTTCCATTTAAATAAAATTAATTTGATTTTTTTCTTATTTTGTTTCAATAATGGAAATACAAACAATACTAATGAACTCTATCGTAATATTTTATTTTTTATATCTACATGAAACATAATATTTCAGATTGACGGAAAGATTGGAAGATAACTTTAATTTACCGATTATGCAGCAACTGTTTGGTACCACCATTCATATCTGTCTTTCCGGTTACTACGTATTGATGGTACAAATACATCAGAATATTTTCATTTTGTTTCTTTTTAACGAAGTACATAACTTCGTAGCATAAAGAAAAAAAAATTTCTTTGCCCTTTTTTTTACTTTTCATTTATTTTTCACTAATCTACATAATTTAGTAAAATAAACTTTTTTTTACTTGATAGGACTTAGTTTAAAGATTAAATTATTAATTTATTTTCGTAAAAAATTTTTAAAGAATGGCGGAGATACGAAATTCGCATAGATACAGGAAACAATTTGTTACTTACGATAATTTCCATGAGTATTCATTAAAAAGAATGGAAAGAATTTATTCATAAATAATTCTTAAAATATAGAAGTAAAATAAGTACTTATTCAGCCGAATTTTTTAAATTCTACGTTTATCAAAAATGGCGAACATTTTAATTTATTTTTTACTTTTTCTTGAGAAAAATCACACTTTCTTTTTGTTCCAAAAAAAGAAGCATTCCGGAAGAAAGTCAAGTTTTCAGAAAGACTTAAATGTAATGCACATAATAATGGAAATTTTTGAAGCCTCTTATTTGAATATTTTTAAAAAAAATTTCTAATATAACACATTTCAACACATTTAAAGTTCCCCATTACGAACAGCTAACATGTATTTTTGAAGATTCTCATTGAATCATCGAATTCAAAACCACGTAATAAACTTTCAATTATCGAATAAAAATTTAATTGTTATTAACATTCGTTTTTATGAAATTAGCAAGCTACTTTTGCAGTGTTTGCTGATCAAGTTCGGCCACATTTATGCAAAAATTATCTTCTGGCATTACAAACTGATAAACAAGCAGATCAATTTCCATACCTAACGATTCTATTAATTTGAAAATGGATTACATTCCTTGATTTAAAAGACAAGGAGCGATGTTCAATGAGTTTTCTGTCATCGCGGATCCGATGATGATAGTTTGACCTGGCAAAGTCTCGATACAAAATGATTAAAACTTTCATTCGTATTTTCCATAAATCCGTAAAGTCAATGTAGCAACGAAGTATCCTTACTTTAATCTTCATTAATATCCTTTAATTTCTTCACAATATTTTTCCGTAAACCTTTTATATTCATGGTCAAAAATGTCTTATTCAATCTTTAGCATTTGCTTGGTACCAACTTCGCCATTATCCTGGATCGTGTAAACAATAATGATGTTCATTTGTAAATCTGTAATGCTGAAATATTGATCGAATTAGTTGTTTTTGCATCGAATTCTATTTTCACGACGTAACACTTGTAAATTTATTGTTAATGAATTTTACTCTCTGTTTTGCACTTCCCGTCTGGTGCAATTGTTATCAATTTTTATTGTACTACTAACAAACTGTACATATACGCTTGTACAAACAAGTTTTCGGGAATAGCAATAAAATGAAAAACATTGAATACTCGAATGAAATTGTATGTAAATGATACTGTTGTTCGATTTGTGAGCATTATACGAGACAATTACGTTATAATCACTATAACTCCGCCATTTTTTATAGATACCCTTCATAATGGTCTACATTCGGAAAATGTAAAAAACAAATTGATTTCTTTTTTAATCCAATGTACGTCAACAATTTATATGATAAAACTTAATAGATTCTTTTCATTCCTTTCATTTTTAGAGTAAGGAAACGAAGGATAATTTACAATCTTTCCTGTTCTTTGTGTACATCTCTTCCGTGATATGCACTCTTTTTATTTACTGTTTCATCGGCGAATGTTTTATTCAGGAAGTAAATAAACTAACAATAATTTCTTGTACAATTGAAATATCAATTACCTAATTAATGTCATTTATATTATTCCATTAGAGTTCCAATTTTGGTAATGCCATTTATAATTACGACTGGTATAACTTACCGGTAACAGAATCGAAATTTTTTCTTATTTGTATGATACGTTCGAAGAAGCCGCAATTTTTAACATCTGGCAAATTTGCGGTCTTGTCCTTGTCCATTTTTACGGACGTAAGTACACAATGATTGATTTTTTCTATTTTCAAGTTATGTTACTTGCTTTAACAATACAATTGTTGTTTTTCGTTGTAAGTATTATTTATTTCTTTAATACTTGCAGATCCTCAAAACATCAATGGGATATTTATCGGTACTGCGAACATTTTTGTGAACAGAATTGATATAAAATGTATTACGTACTAGGAAATATCTTTTTTTTTTTCTTAAGTCATATTTCCTTGTAATAAGACAAATTGTTTGTGTATACATTGTTGACTTGTATCACCCTTAATTATTAGGATCAAAGAAAATATTAATACAATTTTAGGACTGTCGATCAAATCACTTAGTTTCTTTTTTTGGCAAGAAAATTTGTATTAAAAACACCAGTTGTCTCATATTTTAAAATGTATGGCCAATTATTTTTGATTCTATTGCTTTCCATAGTTATATAGGAGAAAATAATAATAATATTAATAGGAAATACAAATTTATTAGAAAATTTCAAATATATATGTATGTATATGTATAATTCAAAATAGTATGTTACATAAGAGAATATATGTCTGTTAAAAGAAAAATTATTATAATTATTCATACGATTATCCAAACATAATTAATTAATTTTTTTAAAGTTAAAAATATGCATGAGCTCAATTTATTTTTCTTTTTAGTTATTTTTTTTTTTTTTTTTTTTTTTTTGATATATTACGTATTCATGCAACAACAAAATTGGTATTGACAAAAATGTTCTTTTCTCTTTACTTACATGAAAATCGAATGAACTTTCTGATATTCTGTAAATATCATCTATATTTATCGAGATATTGAAGTTTCATGCATTTATTGCAAGAAATCTGTTTAAAATTATTATAGAAATATTAATTGCATTTCAATAATCAATATATAAAATCGATTATTGGACGATACCATTCGATTAACTGATTGTAAAAATGATATGTGCTGAATTCACTATTGGCAAAATTTATAATATATTTTGTTTATTCCAACATCAAAATGTGCAAACATTTACATTACATTTTGAATATAATTAAAATTGAGTAAACTAATAAATATGAAAGAAAAAGTGAAGATAATTGTAATTCTAAAGAAAGAATATTAACAAAAACATTTCCTGCTTGATATATGAATTAATTGAAGTTTATCGTAGAAAATATAATAAATAAAAACTATTAATGGTATATAAAGAAAAGAAAAAAATCAAAATTCATAGAAATCAAATGATATATACAAGAAACATAATTAGTGTGAGAAAATAATAAAAGTAAAATTTAGGAAAATATAGAGATTAATGGGTTACAAATAAAGATTAACAATTTCAAAATAAACGAAAAGAAGTTTTGTGTAAAATTGATAATTAAAAACAAAAGAATAAGTTTCCTTTTCTATCCGGAAATCATGTACTTCCTTAAGTACTGTACTCGTCACTCCCCTAACGTGAAGACCGCTAAACTAAAGGACAACGGTAAAGACTACTTACGAATAAATGTTTCCGTGAAGGAAAAATATTTTTCCCTTAAACTACCACCATTAATTCTGTCACAACCAATGTCGTTCCTTCGTCGTATTACGTCCAACTGAAAGCATAAAAAAAAAAAAGAACGAAAATTACGATCGAACGAAAAGTATTATAGAGTGAAAACATTTTTATATTTCCGATAGACCGAAACACTTCGAACTATAGCCGCACGAGGAATGAAAATTATACTGTAGGGAGAGATGCTACTTTTCTTCTTCATATCCATGATCACCCTCTTTTAAAAAAAAAAAAAAAAAAAAAAAGAGGGAGAAGAAAAAGTAAAAGAAAAAAGATAATAAGGACAAAAAATTTCAATGAGAGGTAAATGCAATGAAGCTATAGCAACTTTTACATGGGGAGTTGTGAAACAATGGGATGTCCTATGTGGTGAACCGAAGTGGTGAGAGCACATTTTTTATGTATACCCCTCTAACACCCTCCCAACAACCCACAGTAATCGATAAACTTAACGAAGTAACAGTTTAACTCGTTGATGGAAACAGTTAGAGACGTATTTTTTCCCAACATTTTTTTCGTCAACTTTAGATTAACTATTCAAGCAACCCCTTATACCCCTTATACCAACTTTTTAAACAAAGTTTACCAGGGAGGACGCTCGACCGTTTTGCCGTCAGTCTGTTGCAAACCTTCGAAGAGATAAAATGGAAAAGGATAGCATGGAAGTAAGATCAAGAGGATGGTTTGCTTTTCTCTTATTTTGTGTTTCCTCTATTTTTTTTTCTTTTTTTTCTAATTGCAGAACGAATTTTGTCCCGAATATAAAGTGTCGTTGATATCCTAAGTGTAGTGATGGGAAATAATTTTTCGTCGATCAAAGTGTGTCACGTTTATTTCAATTGAAAATTATTTTTGTGCAATTTTATTTGGAAGTTAATAATTTTTTCTTATATATATTTTTGTTGTCATGCAATTTCATTTATAACCGTGCAGATATTATTGACTTTTCCTTATACTTCGCAGACAATTCTGTGACGTTTCAGTTGGTTTTTTTTTTTGCAAGTCTACAATCATAGCTTCATGTTGTCTGTTTTTAATGCTTGATTTTTTTCTTATAAACTAAATAAATTTTTCTATCAATTTATGCTCGTGAATATAGTTGAAAATGTGAACCAATGTGATTTAATAATTATATTGATTTCATTCGTTGAACGATCATCGTATAAAATTTTTAACGGACAATATACCGGGTGTTCGAAACAAAAAATCTTTATCTCACATACGCGGCATTTTTGAAAAAAGTTGGTCTAGCAAGTATTATTTAATTGCAAAAGTTGAAATATTATTTTACTTATTGTTATTATTATTAAGTGGAAAGATTCAATGATATCTTAAAGTTAACTTTCTTGTTCGGTAAAGAAAATATTAAAAAAATTTTTTGTTTTTTTTTTTTTTTAACAAAGATTATTTCCATTATAAAAAAACGTAAGCTCGTATTTAAAAAAGTTGAAGTTAAGCTTGAATGGACTTCAAGATCGTTTAATAAAAAGAAAAGGAAATGCAATAATATGTCGTGTTTATTATCAGATAAATTTTATGTGTATTATTTTTATCAAATATGTCGTGTTAACGAAATAAAAAATTAGTAACACTTTATTTATATACCCATTATATAATAATAAAAAATACATTAATATGATGATAAAGTTGTGCACATATATGAATATAAATTAATATATATAATATTTTTTTCGTAATATATAAATATTATTATTAAATATTTACATGAAAATATTAATTTTGAATATTGATGAAATCTAATATTTTAATATTTAATAAGAATTAAAACATTAATTGAATGATTCTAATTAAATACATAAGGATTTAAGTACATGTAATAACAAAAGAATATACAGATATATCTATTAATTTTTTTACATTATAATATTACATTATAATAAATTTACATTTATTTTTTTTATTATTTTTTTACATTATAATAAAAAAAACTTATGATGAATACGATCACGCAAAAATTATCAGAAATTAAAATAAATATAGATATAAATATGCATATATTTTGTAATAATCTGTGTATGTATGCATATCGTTGTATTAATAATGAACATATAAATATATATTTTATACATATATATGTATCGTAATATATATATATATATATATATATATATATATATATATATATATATATGTATATATGATATTATAAAGAACAATATATGAATGTATACGAATATACTATATATATTAACAATTATACAATGTATTTAGATGTATAATTAAATAATTAATCTATAACATATCTCACAAATTAATCAATTGAATGATTTTAAAATAGGAAATGGGAATTGCCAACGTCCGAAGATCATTCATTTGGAGCTCAAGGTTCTTAAAATGCATGGGAATTTGGCCATTGAAGAACTACGTACCGATATTTCTCTTCTTTTTCACATATCTTACCATTCATTGTTCTTTAACACTCGCTCAATTATTATGGACTCCAAAAACTTTGGAGAATGTCGTATCGAACGTAGCAGAAAATATTGCATTATCAATGACACTTACGAAAATTACAATTGCCAGAATTAACAGAGAAGCATTGCGTAAATTATTCACAGAAATTGAGGAGTTTTCATTGACTGAGAAATACGAAACTAAAGAGGAAAAGTTGACATTCGTGAATTATACTAAATTACCTCCATATTTTATTATAATAATAGCATTTTCAATGACAGTAGTCGAAGTATTGTATTATACAAGTCGACTCATCGAAGGAATTCAACTTGGTAATATATAATTTTTGTCTTCTTTTTTTTTTCTATGTGACATTATACTATACATATTTTCTATTAATTTCATTATGCTATTAAGTGTAATCCGACGATTATATTTTTTATCTATTTATTTATTTACTTACTATTGAATTAGTAAATGTACTCACACATATAAACAAATATTCATGTACACATGCACTAGTATACAATAATCGCCAATTCTTCTAAATATGTTTAATAAATAAATTAATTCCGATCTGCCGACGTTAAAAAAGAATATATACGTCATTGCATGTTGTTTTATTTTCTTTTGATAATTAACGCAACAACTGCCAAATAAAACAACAATAAGTTTGTGATCTTTAAGGGTAAGTAACGAAGGTCAATAAGTGCTAATGTTGGTACAAACAATTTGATCTAATCATTATTTAGACTTGATCAAATGATGCTCAAAGTAAATGATCTGTGGTATTTAATAATGACGTAATGAAATCATTGTCAAATTGAGTCTGATCCATAATTGACAAAGCGAGAAATTTTTGATACATTTAGGATTACTTGGTCGACAGTAAAAAGACATCTTGATGAAATCGAAAATATATCTAATCGAGACATTTGTATTCCGTATCAATTTGTCGAATACGAACTAATATCAACGAGGAAGAATTTGCACATCTTTACTGACCAGATAACAAAGTGACACAATCCTAAGCTTAATTGTTACCACAAATGATTAATTGTTACCATAAATTGTTACTATAAATCCTATACAGCAACTTGAATCGACACCAATCAATAACTTCCTCCGGAACTAACCAGCTGTACCTACATATAATCTAGGTCTGATATTGAATATCGTGCGATTAATGGTATCCCACTGCCATAATTCATTTTGTATTACTATAACTAATTGACAATGTTATTCAATGCCCACAATTAGAATAGTTACATAATGAATTGCTGAAAAAACTGTCGGCATTAAATATCAACAATAAACGCGCAACATACTAATGAAAGAATGGGTCCATGAAAATAATGAACCAACTTAGCCAAGAAGTTTTAACAAATTTACTGTATTCATTCGATATAACGTCATTGGATTACCATTTGCTTTAAATCTGTGGAATATTTCATAAAAATTGCAATGTCTCGAAATGCCAATAGCTTTCAAATTCATCTCGAATCATATTTCTCATCATGGTGTGGATATTTTTATGAAAGGTGACTTGAAAATTTTACAGAAGAAATGACAAAGTCGCAATTGATTTGAAAAGAATTAAAAAAAAAAATTGTATCCAAGTGTGTGTCTAACTTATAATTAATTAATTAAATGAAAAATTACTTAAGGGTACTCTGTAATATTACATGATTGAAATATGGTTTACCATTGTGTCGGATATTAAGTTGATATGTATAATTGGAATATTTGTATTAATGAGCTAATCGAATGTATTTGTTCTTGTATCTTTTTGTAATTATTTTTCTTAAGAAAATTACTTTGGTTTCTTTTTCTCTGTTTCTACTTTTCAGCAAGGCAAAACAATTCCATGAGTTATAAATTGCCTTATAGAACATTAGAAATCATGGATTTAAAGGACAGCAGGATTTATGCTTTGATGTGTGCTTATCAATTAATATTCGTACCATGTATCGTATTAGGTTACGTAGGATTCGATTGCATGTTCGTCAATTTATCCATTCAAGTAATTGCACAGTTCTCCATATTATCCTGCAAAGTGAAATCAATATTAAATAATTCTAAAAATTATCATGAGGGTATGAAGAACATTGTACTACGACATTATCGATTGATAAGGTAAAATATGATTATATAAAAATAATTGATATGTGTATGTGTGTGTGTGTGTGTAAGTATATTTATAAACAATGATAAATTATTTTATTTTGAAGTTTAATAATAAATTTCTTTAGTTTATTTACGAACAGACAAACACATATATATATCTACGCACATTATTGCATTTTGTAATATATTACAAAATTTCTCATTTTCTCGATTATTTATTAGCTGTTATTTTATTAATAAATAATTTTTTTTATAGATGGCTCGCTTCAACAATTTAGTTCTTTCATCATTCATTTAGTATTTTTTATTTGCCATTCAATTATTTATTCACTATATTTTATTCGTTAATTCAATAACTGTTCGTTATTTTGTATTTTTTATTATTTATCAACTTCAATCTTCTTCATGTCGTTAAATATATTAAAAATAAAAAAAATATTTTCTTCTAAATAAAATCATATTGATTTTTTTCTAATTTCGTTTCAATAATGGAAATACAAACAATACTAATGAACTCTATCGTAATATTTTATTTTTTACATCTACATGAAATATAATATTTCAGATTGACGGAAAGATTGGAGGATAACTTTAATTTACCGATTATGCAGCAAATATTGGGTACCACCGTTCATATCTGTATTTCCGGTTACTTCGTACTGACGGTAAAAATCCATACGAATATTTTCATTTTGTTTCATTTCAACGAAGTACATAACCTCGTAGCATAAAGAAACAAACATTTTTTGCCATCTCCATCACTTTTCATTTATTTGTTCACTAATATACATAATTTAGTAAAATAAACTTTCTTTTACTTGATAGGATTTACTTTAAAGATTAAATTAATAATTTATTTTCGTAAAAAACTTATAAAGAATGGCGGAGATACGAAGTTCGCATAGATATAGGAAACAATTTGTTATTTACCATAATTTCCATGAGTATTCATTAAAAAGAATGGAAAGAATTTATTCATAAATAATTCTTATAATATGAAAGTAAAATAAGTAGTTATTCAGCTGAATTTTTTAAATTCTACGTTTATAAAAAATGGCGAACATTTTAATTTATTTTTTACTTTGTCTTGAGAAAAATCACACTTTCTTTTTGTCCCAAAAAAAGAAGCATTCCGGAAGAAAGTCAAGCTTTCAGAAAGACTTAAATGTAATACACATAATAATGGAAATTTTTGAAGCCTCTTATTTGAATATTTTTTAAAAAAATTTCTAATATAACACATTTCAACACATTTAAAGTTCCCCATTACGAACAGCTAACATGTATTTCTGAAGATTCTCATTGAACCATCGAATTCAATACCACGTAATAAACTTTCAATTGTCGAATGAAAGTTTAATTGTTATTAATTCGTTTTTATGAAATTAGGAAACTATTTTTGCCGTGTTTGCTTATCATGTTCGGCCACATTTATGCAAAAATTATCTTCTAGCATGGCAAACTAATAAACAAGCGGATCAATTTCCATATCTAACGATTCTAATAATTTAAAGATGGATGACATTTCTTGAATTAAAAGACAAGGAGCGATGTTCAATGAATTTTCTGTCATCGCGGATCCGGTGATGATAGTTTGACCTGGCAAAGTCCCGATACAAAATGATTAAAACTTTCATTCGTATTTTCCATAAATCCGTAAAGTCAATATAGCAACGAAGTATCCTTAATTTAATCTTCATTAATATCCTTTAATTTCTTCACAATATTTTTCCGTAAACCTTTTATATTCATGGTCAAAAATGTCTTATTCAATCTTTAGCATTTGCTGAGTACCAATTGTGTCATGATTCTGTATTGTGTAAACAATAATGATGTTCATTCGTAAATTTGTAATGGTGAAATATTGATCGAATTAGTTGTTTTTGCATCGAATTCTATTTTCACGACGTAACACTTGTAAATTTATTGTTAATGAATTTTACTCTCTGTTTTGCACTTCCCGTCTGGTGCAATTGTTATCAATTTTTATTGTACTACTAACAAACTGTACATATACGCTTGTACAAACAAGTTTTCGGGAATAGCAATAAAATGAAAAACATTGAATACTCGAATGAAATTGTATGTAAATGATATTGTTGTTCGATTTGTGAGCATTATACGAGACAATTACGTTATAATCACTGTAACTCCGCCATTTTTTATAGATACCCTTCATAATGGTCTACATTCAGAAAATGTAAAAAACAAATTGATTTCTTTTTTAATCCAATGTACGTCATCAATTTATATGATAACATTTAATTCGTTTCATTTCTTTCGTTTTTAGGGTAAGGAAACGAAGGATAATTTAAAATCGTTCGTGTTCCTTGTGTACATATTTGCCGTGGTATGCACTCTTTTTATTTACTGTTTCATCGGCGAATGTTTTATTCAGGAAGTAAATAAAATATCAATTATTTCTGGCACAATTGAAATATCAATTACCTGATTAATATCATTTGTTTTATTCGATTAGAGTTCTAATTATGGTAATGCCATTTATAATTATGACTGGTATAACTTACCGGTAACAGAATCGAAATTTTTTCTTATTTGTATGGCACGAACGAAGAAGCCGCAATTTTTAACATCTGGCAAATTTGCGGTCTTGTCCTTATCAATGTTCACGGACGTAAGTACACTGTGATTAATTTTTTCTATTTTCAAGTAATATTCCTTGCTGTAACAATACAATTGTTTTTTTTTTCCTTATAAATATTATTTATTTCTTTAATATTTGCAGATCATCAAAACTTCTATGGGATATTTGTCGGTATTGAGAACATTTTTGTAAACAGAACTAATGTGAAGTGGATTACGTAGTAACAAATTTTTTTTGTTTTTTCTTAATTCATCTTCCTTCGTAGAAAAACAAACGATTTGTTTTTACATCGTTAATTTGTATTAGCGTTATGAAATATATAAATACAGTTCTATTCGATAAAAATTCTTAGTTTCTTTCTTTATCAATAAAATTTGTATCAAATATAAGAGAACCGTGTCAGGTAGACCAGTTGTCTCATTTTTTTAAATAAATGGTCAATTATTTTCGATTTTATTAATTTCCATACTTATATGGGAAAAAATAATAATAATGAAAAATTATATAACTATGTATTTCATACGTTACATAAGAGCATGGGGCCCATATGTGTCTGTTCAAAGAAAAATTATTATTATTATTTATTTATATACGAATATCCAAAAATAATTAATCAATTTTTTCAAAGTTAACAATACGTATGAGCCCAACTTGTTTCTTTATTTTTTTTTTTTATTATTATTGTTTTTTAATTTATTACGTATTTATGCGAAAACAAAATTGGTATTGACAAAAACATTCTTCTTTTTTTTTTTTTTTACTTACATGAAAACCGAAAGAAACTTTCTGATCAACCACAGATATTATTTAAATATCGTCTATATTTATCCTAAATACTGCAGTTGTATGCATTTATTGTCAGTTATTTGTTCAGAATTATTATAGAAATATTAATTGCCTTTGAATGTTGAATATTCAAGATTAATTATTGAACGATCTCATTCGTCAAACTTTGTTCGTAAGAATAAGTGTTGCATTCATTATCTGCAAAATTTATAAAGGGTTAAAATATTTTGATTATTTGAACATCAAAATGTGTATAAATCCATATTATATTTTACGTAAAATTAAAATTGAGTTAACTAATAAATAAGAATCATCTAACGAAATATAATATTTCGTTAGAAAAATGAAAGAAAAAGTGAAAACAAATGTTACTCGAAAAAAAAGTATAAAAGAAAACATTTCCATGTCGATAAATGATAACGTAAAAGGTATAATAAATAATAACGATTAATGATAAATAATAATAAAATGAAAAATTTGCAAAAACAACGTCAAATCTCACGAAATCCAAAGGATGCGTAAAGAAAAAAAAAAAGTATAATCAATTTGAGAAAATAGTGAAAGTATAATTTCAGGAAATAAAGAGATTGTTTGATTGCAAATGAAAAATAATAATTTAAAACTAAAGAAAAAGAATTCTTGTATGAAACAATTGATAATTAAAAAAAAAAAAAAAACAATAAAGAAAAATTTTCATTTTTTTGCCGAGAAATCATGTATGTTCTTAAAAAACTATACTCATTATAAGCTCTAACGTTAAAATCATTAAAATAAAGGACAAAACGTTAAAGACATTTAATTTCATCGCACGATTACTTACGAATACTTGTATCCGTGAAATAGAATAAAATTTGATTGTTTTAAACCACCACCATAAATTCAGGCACATTCAATATCTTTCGTTCTACGTATAACGCAGTACTAGAAGCAAAAAGAGAACAAAGGGAGGATCGAATGAAAAGTTGTAAAGGGGTTGGAAACATTTTTATATTACCGGTAAACCGTTAAACTTTGAACTATGACCGAGCGAAGAGGGGTGTTTATATCCAAGGTTATAAGGTTTATCTCTTTCCAAGCTATGATCACCCTCTTTCTTAAAAAAAAAAGAAAAAAAAAAAAAAAGAAAAAAGAAGACAAAAAAAGAATAAAGACAAAAATGGCAAAAATTTCAACGAAAGATAATTCGAATGAAGTTATGAAAACTTTTATACGAGGGTTGTGAAACAAAGGGATGCAACAAAGGGTAGTAAACCGAAGCGGTAAGAGGATATTTTTTATGTATACTCGAATACTCCTCCCATCCCTATCTCCTCCCACCTCCTTCCACCCCAACTCGCGCTCCACTCATCAACCACCCTTAATCGATGAACGTAACAAAGTAACAGTTTAAACCGTTAATGGAAAGGGGTTTTAGAGACGAGTTATTTCTCAATATTTTTTTTTTTCGTCAACTTGATATTAATTATTCACCCAACCTGTAGACGCATATAACAACTTTTCAAACGGAGTTTACCAGGGAGGACGATCGACTTTTTTGCCATCAGTTTATCGTGAACCTTCGAAAGTATAAAATGGGAAAGGGCAGCATTGAAGTAAGATAAAAAATTTGCTTTCTTTTTCTTTTTCGTTTTCTCTCTCTCTCTCTCTCTCTCTCTCTCTCTCTCTTTCTCTTTCTCTTTCTCTATTTTTTTTTCTTTTTTACCGTAGAACGAGTCTCGTGTCTAATATACGATTATCGATCACACTTATTTCAATTGGATATTATTTTTCTTGAATTTTATTGAGGAATTTATATTTATTTCTTTCATGTATATTTACATGCAATTGCGTTTTTATAACGTGCAGATATTATTATACTTTTTTATTCTTCATGTTATTGCACTTAAGTGACAATTCTTAACGATGTTTCACTTATTTCTCTTTTCTTTCTTTTTTTTTTTTTTTTTTTTTTTTTTTTTCTGTGAACAATTATAATCTCGTTCGTTTGATTTTTGATCGTGAAAAAATATTTAATTAGACGAATAAAAATTGGAAAGAAAATAAATTTTCGTATTATTATTACCACGTGAATATAATAAAATAATGAAACAATCCTATTTAATGATGATATTGTATTCATTCGTTGTTTAATCATCGAGGAAAATTTTTTACTGACAATTTTATTGAATTTTCAAAACGACGTGTTAACAAATTTTTATCTCGAGAACATGATATTATAAAAAAAAAAAAAAAAAAAAAAAAAATAAGAAAAAGAACAAAAATTATTCTAATAAGAATTATTTATTTTTAACGAGAAAAATATTATTGGATTTATTGGATTTTCAAAACGAAATGTTAACAAATTTTTATCTCGTGAACATGATATTATAAAAAAAAAAAAAAAAATAAGAAAAAGAACAAAAACTATTCTAATAAGAATTATTTATTTTTAACCAGAGAGAAAAATATTATTGGATTTATTGGATTTTCAAAACGAAATGTTAACAAATTTTTATCTCGGGAATATGATATTATAAAAAAAAAAAAAAATAAGAAAAAGAACAAAAATTATTCTAACAAAAATTATTTATTTTCCACGAGAGAGAGAGAGAGAGAGTGAGAGAGAGAGAGAGAGAGAGAGAGAGAAAGAGAAAGAGATATTAAAGTATTTATTGTTATCTATTTAATGGAATGTTTTGAGTTAACTTCAACGGTCAACTTCGTTTCTCTATAAAAAAAAAAACAAAAATATTTCGAACAAGAAAACTTACTTGCTTTTTTTTCTTTTGTTCCTTTTTTTTTATTGAAGTATATATATATATACTTTATATATTTTATTTATTATATACTTTATTTATTTATTATATACTTTAATAAAAATTCAATAAAATTCAATAAAAAAATATATATATATATATACCATTATAAAAGTATTATCATATATTCGGAAAAAAAAAGTTGACCTTGGAATATACGTATTGAAATATATATTACATTAATCGTAATAAAATGCATTGAGAATCTTAATGTAACAAGATTAATTGAAAATTTATTTAGATCATATTAATCAATTAGATTTTTATTTTTCATTATAGGAAATAGGAATGAGCAACATCTTGAAATCATTCAATTGGAACACAAAGCTCTTAAAATGTGTAGGAATTTGGCCATTGGAGAACAACGATCTAATTTTTTTCTTCTTCTTCATATATCTTTCAATTCATTGTTCTTTAACATTCGCACATTTGATTTACGCTCCAAAAACCATCGACATTGTTGTATGTAACATAGCAGAGAATATTATGCTAACGATGACGCTAACGAAGATAACAATCGTTAGAATCAATAAAGAATCATTGGGTAAATTGTTGATGGAAATAAAGGAGTTTACACTCTCTGAGAAATACAATAGTAAAGAGCAAAAAGTGATATTACTGAAGTATACTAAATTACCGCCACGTTTTATACTAACAGCGGTTATTTCAATGACAATATCTGCTTCATTGTATTATGTGAATGGAGTTAATATTGGAGTACAAATTGGTAATTCCAAAAATTTTTTTCTTTTTTTTTTTTTTTTCTTTTTTCTCCCTCTTTTTTTATACGTCCTCCATTATCACAATTTTCATATTAATTCCTTCATGGAGCATCGACCATCGTAATTTGTCAAATATTCCTATGTTTTCTTTAATTTATTCATTGAATCATTAGACGTATCTATGTACACAAACACAGAACACAAGCAACAATCGTAATAATACAAAATTTTTACGATATATACGGATACGTTTCTAATGTCAATAAGTGCGTTAGTGTTGGTTTAGAAAATTTCATCGATTATCATTTTAATTTGATTCGATGATATGCAAAATGAACGATCAGCAGAATTTCATAACGATGTTTTAAAACCACAGCTTAAGTCGAATCCAAGATTGGCAGTCCCAGAAACAGCTGATACATTTGAGATTATTTGATAGACAGTACAAAGAAAACTTCATGAAATCGAAAAGATATACCTAGTCGAGGTATTTGTATTTCGTATCAATTGTCGAATACGAATTAACATTAGCAAGAAAGAATTTGCACATCGTTATTTACCAGGCAACGAAGTGATCCAATTTTAAGCTTAATCGTTACCGTAGATGAGAAATGGGATCTTATACGGCAACTTGAAACGATACCAATCAAAAACTTTCTCTGGGACCAATCAGCTGTATCCACATCTAAATCAGATTTGATATTGAACAAGGTGCTATCGTGCGTTTGATGGTACCGCAACGACATAATTCATTTTGAGTTGTCATAATCAATTGCCGTTGATGTTTATTATTCACAATTAGAACGATTACATAACAAGTTGTTGATAAAATGGTTGACATTGGTCAACAATAAACGTTTCATACCGCAACATACTAATGGTGGAATCCGTGCAGCAAAAAAACAACTCAAGAAAATAATAAACCAACATTGCTAGAAAGTTTTACCGAATTCACCATATTCATTACGATATCACATCATCGAATTATTATTTTATCATCTATGGAATATTTCATTGAAAATAAAATGTCTCGAAGTATCAGTGAATCCATATTTTTCATCGCAGGGCGCACATTTTCATGAGAATGAAATTAAATATTTACAAAAGAAATGGCAAATACGTTATTGTTTAGAAAACATTGAGTGGTTCGGAAAGTAATTTCATTTTTTCCCAACAGAGAAATTAATTGTATTTTTTTGCACCCAACTTCACACTTAAGCCTCATAATCATTATATGTTTTGAGAGCTAATATAGCAAGACTTGTGTGTGAAAAATTCCAATTGATTTTACGCAGTAGTTTTTGGTTGGTGCCCTTTTAAATATAGAGAGCAATAAGCAGTATTTTCGTCATAGTTTACTTTTTTACTATAGAAAAGATAAAAATGCTGTTCAAGCCAGAAAGAAATTAATCGATGTATATGGAGAAGATGTGTTGACAGTATGCTAGTGCCAGAACTGATTTGCAAAATTTCGATCCGGCAATTTTGATGTCGAAGATGCACCACGTTCTGGAAGGCCGATTGAAGCTGATAAAGACACGATAAAGGCATTAGTTGATGCAATCCGACGAATAACAACACGTGAAATCGGTGAGAGTTTAAATTTGTCAAATTCAACTGTTTATGACCACTTGAAAGGCCTGGGTTTAATCTCGAAGCTCGATATATGGATTCCCCATGTTCTCACGGAGAAAAATTTGTGTCGTCGCGTTGACGTCTGTGATTCGCTTCTCAAACGTCACGAAAATGATCCATTTTTGAAGCACATCATTATTGGGGACGAAAAATGGGTTGTATATAACAATGTCAAACGCAAGAGATCATGAAGCAAAAAAGATGAACCGGCTCAAAGCATTTCCAAAGCCAATATCCTTCAGAAAAAAGGTGATGCTGTCTGTTTGGCGGGATTTTAAAGGAATCGTTTTTTTTTGAGATTTTACCAGAGAATACAACAATTAATTCGGAAGTCTACTGTCATCAGCTGAACAAACTGAATGATGCACTTCAACAGAAAAGGCCAGAATTAATCAACAGAAAAGGTGTAGTGTTCCTCCAAAATAATGCGAGACCTCATACAAGTTTGGTCACTAGCCAAAAGCTTTTACAGCTTGAATGGGATACAATGCCACACTCACCATATTCTCCAGATCTGGCATCTTCGGATAATTATTTGTTCCGGTCACTGCAAAATTTTTTAGACGGTAAAACCTTCACTTCAAATGAGGAGGTTAAAAACCACCTGGATCAGTTTTTTGCTAGCAAAGACTAAAAATTTGATGAGCGTGGTATCATGCTACTATCAGAAAGATGGCAAAAGGTATTGGACCAGAATGGCCAATATATAATTTAATAAAATATTTGTTCATTATACGAAAATTGTCTTTCATTTTCACAAAAAAAAAAAAAAACGAAATGACTTTCCGAATAACCCAATAATGGAAAAAAAAAGAAAAAAAGAAAAAAGAAAAAAAAAAGAAAAAGAAAAATTGTATGCGTGTGTCTAATTTTAAATTAATCGATTACTTATAAGTTACCTCGTAATATTATACGAGTAATATGCTTTAACATTGTATCGAACATTAACTCGATATGAATATTTTGGTATATTCGTTTTAATCGACGAATCGATTGTCTTGTTTTCGCATTGTTTCAGAAATTTTTTTCATAAAAAAAGAAAAAAAATTATTTTTTTTTTCCTTCCTCGTCTTTTTTATTTTTTTCAGCGAAACAAAACAATTCCATGGGTTATCAGTTGCCGTACAAAACATTACAAATTATCGATTTACGGGACAGCAGGATTTACGCTTTGATTTGTGCTTATCAAACAATGGTCGTACCTTCTATAGTTTTTGGTTACGTAGGAATCGATTGCATATTCGTCAATTTGTCCGTTCTAGTAATCGCACAATTCGCCATATTGTCCGATAAGGTGAATGAAGCATTAAATAATTCTGAAAATTGTCATGATGGTATTAAGAAACTTGTATTACGACATTATCATTTGATAAGGTAATGTATCCATATCATTATATAAAATCAGTTAATATTTATATAAACAATGGTATGTTATTTTCTTTATAAATTTATTTATTAATTTTTTTTTTTTATTATAATTCTTTTTTTGTTATATATATGATTTATATCTCATTATTAATAAATGATTTTTCGAAAATTACTTGTTATTTTATTTGAATTATTTAATGTTATTAATTCAATTATATATTTATTTTCTCTTATATCATTTAATCGTTTTTTAATTATTTCTTATTTGTCATTTCATTATTTATTTATTATATAATTATATATTTATTAATTGTAACTTTTTATATATCATAAAAGTATATTGAAAATAAATACAGATTAAACTTCACTGTTGATAACCTACAAATTTCTTTCTTTCTTTTCTTCTTTTTTTTTTTTTATTTTGAATTTTCTTAATTGAAAAACAAACAAATATAACGGACTCTATCGTGTAATATTACATGTCTAATATTTACATGAAATATTTCAGATTTGCGGAAAAATTGGAGGATAACTTTAATATCGTGATCATGCAACAATTGTTGGGTACCGTCATCCATCTTTGTATTTCCGGTTATCATCTACTGATGGTACGCAAACATGCGAATAATTATTCTTTTCTTTTTTATTTTAAGGACTTACATAACATTTCTATAATTTTTTTTCTCTCCTTTTTAACAAATCTATTGTACAATTATTTATAAGATCAAAATTCGTTTCTGATGGAACAAATTGAAAAGATACAATTGCAAAGTTTTCTCAATTTAAAGCAATGAAAAATGGCGGATGAATAGGCATTGACATAAACGAATGAAAAAAATTCGTCAATAATTCTCAGGTCTATCGATTAAAATAAAAATAAAAAAATAATTTACTCTGAAAATATAAAAATAAAACGAGTTTTACTTCAGGCGAAATTTGGAAATTAATATTTTTATACAAAATGACGGACGCTTACAGTTTTCATTTTTTTTTTTTTTTATTGCTTTTGAAAAGAATTGCTCTTCGGTCTTTTTATAAAAGAAGAAGAAGAAAAAAGAAATGCTTTGGAAAGAAAATCGTGCCGACAGGAAATTGTAAATTTAATACAGATAATGATCGAAAAAAAATTCAAATCTCTTTTAATTTTCAAATCTCTTTAGATTAATTCAAAAGAAATTATTGATACGAATTTCGAAATTTACCAATTACGAAAAAAAAAAAAATAACAGATCTGAAGTTTCCTATTACATTTACAAACAAATAACAATTATTTTTATATAGTCGCAATGAATCATCGATTCCAGGACGATGTAATGAACTTTCAATCGTCGAAAAAAATTTTAATTGGTATTAATGTTCGTGTTTTTGAAATAAGCAAGCCTTTTTTCCTCGCAGCTTTTTGCGAGTTAAGGTCAACCATAGTTTTGCAAGATTCATCTTCTTATGTGGCATACTGATGCAAATCAATTTCCATATTCAACAGTTGCATTATTTCGAATCGGATCTGCAATCGGATCATTTAATTCGTATTTTTCGTAATTCTACAAAGTCGACGTAGCTACAAAATATTCTTACTTTGTTCCTCTTTGATTTGAATTTCTTCAAAATGTTTTTCGATAAAAACTTTATATTCATGATTAAAATTGTCTCATTCAATCTTTGCATTTTCTTTGTTATCAACTGTTACCATGATCCTGAATCGCGTAAACATAAATGATGTATAAAATGCTCATTTGTTAAACTGAATGATTTGAATGATGAAATGTTGAATGATGATTGTGAATGATGAAATATTTATCGAATGAGTTTGTCATTATATCTATTTCTACTTTATCGATTAATCCCTCGTGAATTTATTATAATTCAGTTTTTATACTACGCGTTAGATTCTTCGTACATTGCAATCGTTATCAATTCTTTTCATCAGTAATAACAAACCTTTTATAATTCCGCCATTTTTTATGGATATCTTTCATAATTATTTGCATTCAGAAATTTTTTTGTTTCCAAAAAATTAAATCATTTTGTTTCCAAAAAATTAAATCATTTTGTTTCCAAAAAATTAAATCATTTTGTTTTCAAAAAATTAAATCATTTTGTTTCCAAAAAATCTCATGTACAATCTTAATTAATATGGTAACATCTAATCGATGTTGTTCTCTTTTTTTTTTTTTTTTTTTTTTTTTTTACTTTTAGAGTAAAGAATCGAAAGATAGTTTAACATTGATCCTGTTCATTTTGTACGGCTTTTGCGTGATGGGCACACTTTTTATTTACTGTTTCATCGGTGAATGTCTTATTCAGGAAGTAAATAAAATGATTTATCTTAATAATATCTTGATTGAATTATCAATTGTCATATTAATGTCATTCGTTTCATTCAATTAGAGTATCAATTTTGGTAATGCCATTTACAATTACGACTGGTATAACTTATCGTCGGTGGACTCGAAATTTTTTCTTATTTGTATGATACGAACCAAGAAGCCGCTATATTTAACTTCTGGCAAATTTGTCATCTTGTCCTTGACCATTTTCACAGATGTAAGTACACTTAGAATGAGTTTCTTTTTTTTTTTTACAGTATATTATTGGCTACAACAATTTATTATTATTATTATTATTATAATTATTATTATTATTTATTTATTTATTTATTTATTTATTTATTTGATAATATTTTCAGATCGTCAAATCTTCGATGGGATACTTATCGGTACTGCGTACATTTTTGTGAAATGGACAAAAGTGAGATGTAGTAACAATTCGTTTTTTTTTTTTCTTTTTCACGATTTCCTTCGTACGAAGACAAACATTTTGTCTATACATTATTGATTTGTACTGTCGTTATAAAATGTTTACATACTATTTTAAAACGATTTCTCTTTTTAAAAGATATTGGCCTTTATCTCCGATCTCGTTGATTTCAACATGTACATTATCATAAGCTAAAAATTATAATGATCCAAAAAAAAATTCATTAGAAAAATTAAAATAAATATATATACTCGTATATGTATAGATAAAATCGAAAAGTTTGTTAAGCAAAAAAGTAGGGCCAATATCTTATCAGAAAAGAATTATTGTTTCTATTAAGGATACCCAAAGTCAATTATTGCAAAATTAAACAGATATATAAGTCCAATTCATTTTCTTTTTCTTTTTTTTTTTTTTTTTTTTTTTTTTTTAATATTTGATATTACATTATAAAATTATACATATTTAACCATCGTTATCAAATGCCATTTTTTCTGTAAATTTTCAATTTCTCTCTATAATGAAAAATATGATTCAAGATAAACCTGAAAGTTACTTTTATTTGCAGAGATCTTATTTTCAATTAAATATTCCATAGATGATAAAATAAATGATAATTCGATGGTGTGATATCGTAATGAATATGGTGAATTCGGTAAAACTTTCTAGCAATGTTGGTTTATTATTTTCTTGAGTTGTTTTTTTGCTGCACGGATTCCACCATTAGTATGTTGCGGTATGAAACGTTTATTGTTGACCAATGTCAACCATTTTATCAACAACTTGTTATGTAATCGTTCTAATTGTGAATAATAAACATCAACGGCAATTGATTATGACAACTCAAAATGAATTATGTCGTTGCGGTACCATCAAACGCACGATAGCACCTTGTTCAATATCAAATCTGATTTAGATGTGGATACAGCTGATTGGTCCCAGAGAAAGTTTTTGATTGGTATCGTTTCAAGTTGCCGTATAAGACCCCATTTCTCATCTACGGTAACGATTAAGCTTAAAATTGGATCACATCGTTGTCTGGTAAATAACGATGTGCAAATTCTTTCTTGCTAATGTTAATTCGTATTCGACAATTGATACGAAATACAAATACCTCGACTAGGTATATCTTTTCAATTGTATGAAGTTGTCTTTGTACTATCTATCAAATAATCTCAAATGTATCAGCTGTTCATCGTATTATCAATTATGGATCAGATTTTTAAATCATTGTCGATAATTACGCCATCGATATTTTCAGTATCTTTAAAATTTCTAATAAAATAATAGATTTTAATTAATTGAACATCGAAATCTATAAACGAACATATAATATTTAATATGAAATTAAAGTCGAGAATTAATGAACAAAAATTAATAAACGAAATATAATATTCTTTCTAAAAAAAAAAATAAATATCAAAAATATTTCAAATATTTCAACTTCGTGAATGTCACGATTGAAATTTAAAAAATCGAATAAATAAAAGCAATTAATAAGATAGAAATAATAATGAAAACTATCTAAAGAAAGTCAAAACTTGTAGAAAGTAAATGATACTTAAATAGAAAAAGAAAAAGGAAAACTCGAGAGAATAACGAAAATAAAATCTAAGTAAAAAAAAAAAAAAAACAAAAAAAACAATAAACGAGATGCCAATTAAAAAATAATAATATAAAAATAAAGAAAGAAAAAGAAAAAAAAAGAAGTAGATAAAGAAATGTAAATATTAATGGCTTACGTCCGCAAAAGTTCGCAAGCAAACAATGCAATATTTCGCACAAGTAATTGCAGTGATTTCCCAGAACAAATCATACAAATATAAATCAATTTCAAATCGTAATTGTACAGTATTTGTTATATTTCATAAAAATCATTCTCTGCTCTTTGATTTTATAATTATTAATGATGTAATCGATTTCTGTTTCTATCAAAAATCTTGAAATAAATCGATACTTTACTCAGCACAATCATAATTTCGTCATTGTCAAAAACATCAGCATGTTCTCCATAATGCTTGTCAGTACGTAATGAAAATCAGTGATACGATCTGCTAAATCGAGAAATCCTAAAATACTGTAAACACATCCGTAAAATGAAAATGATAGGAACAATAAATTCCGAATTTCCAATGGGCAAATTCTAGAAAAAGCGAGTAATCGGTTGTTCCAGGTTATCGCTTTGAAGATATTAATGAGCAATAAAACATCTTCATAATCATGAAAGTGTTGACAAAAATATTAATAAGAATCGTTTAGTCATTTCCATCCATTGCAATTTAAAAATTTCAGATCTATATATATAATAATATTTAAATATAAAAAAACTTGAGAGCAGCACCATTTCCTTGGATGATACATTCCATTCTATTTAACGCACTTAACGTATTTAATATAAATGAAATATTTTCTATAAAAAATCAATTTTAAAGGACACAAAAATATCAAATAAAATAAAAAACTTAGCAAGTCAACGATCATACCGCGTTGTAAAGCACCAGTTCTCGTCCGATCACTGAAGTTAAGCAACGTTGGGCACGGTTAGTACTTGGATGGGTGACCGCTTGGGAACACCGTGTGTTGTTGACATTTTTTTACTTTCTTTTTTATCTTTTTTTTTTTCTTATAAACTACAATAAAATGATATACTTTGTACAAATGAAATATATTCTAGAATAAATCAATTTTTTTAGAAGTTAAAAGACGTATAAAATGAGAACATTGATCAGTCAACGACCATACCGCGTTGAAAAACACCAGTTCTCGTCCGATCACTGAAGTTAAGCAACGTTGGGCACGGTTAGTACTTGGATGGGTGACCGCTTGGGAACACCGTGTGTTGTTGACATTTTTTTACTTTCTTTTTTATCTTTTCTTTTTCTTATAAACAACCAAAACTACAATAAAATGATATACTTTGTACAAATGAAATATATTCTAGAATAAATCAATTTTTTTAAAAGTTAAAAGACGAATAAAATTAAAGAATTGATCAGTCAACGATCATACCGCGTTGAAAAACACCAGTTCTCGTTCGTTCGATCACTAAAGTTAAGCAACGTTGGGCACGGTTAGTACTTGGATGGGTGACCGCTTGGGAACACCGTGTGTTGTTGACGTTTTTTTACTTTCTTTTTTATTCTTTTCTTTTTTATAAACAACCTAAACTGCAATAAAACGATATACGTAATTGTACGTCACTTCTACTCATCTGCACCGAATCTAAGTTACCTGTTTCTTTAATCGCAATCTTACTTTTTCACAAAGCGAAAAATCTAAAAAAAATTATATATATATATACATATTTTTTTTAATTCGGACATTTCATTTTATTTAATAAACTTAATATATTCAAGACGAATAAGAAATACTTCATAATAAATCAATCTTAATAGGTAAAGGAATAATGAATAAAAGCATAAAGCTTTTAAGTCAACGATCATACCGTGTTGTAAAGCACCAGTTTTCGTCCGATCACTGAAGTTAAGCAACGTTGGGCACAGTTAGAGTACTTGGATGGGGGTGACCGCTTGGAAACACCGTGTGTGTTGATATTTTTTACTTTCTTTTTTATTTTTTTTTTTTTTTTATAAACAACCTAAATTACAATAAAATGATATACGTCATTGTACGTCACGACTGCACCGAATGTAAGCAGCCTGTTTCATTGATCGGAATCTTACTTTCCAACAAAGCAAAG